TCGCCGTGCTTTGGTGGAGCTGGGCTGATGGAGGAATGACGTCCGGGGTTTGGGTCCATGGCCAGCAGAGAGTCTTGTACGATTCAAGAGAGTGCGGCTGGTAAGACGTCTCAGGGATATTTGTTAACTTTCTCGCAGACCAAAATTCAAGGGGAATGCAATTACACAGGAGGCGTTGAGATGCTCAGAGCCCAATAAACGTCTAGGTGTGTTTGCCGAATACACTCCATAGAGCAGTGGTTCTTAACTGTTAATGCAGCCTAAACCCCTTTGGTTTTCAATCGTAAAAAAACTGTATAATGTTCATAAATGCAGAGGGTTTGATGAAACAAAGCAGTTGTACGTACGTGACCGTGCGTAATTTGTGTTTTCGATGATTTAGCTTCTTAACAATTCTGGCCGTGTCTCAAACTCCCCGAAAGGACATCACGCATCACCAGGGGGTGCGTGTCAAGGCCGTAATTATAATATATATTGGGGGAGACAATGTATCCCCCCCAATATTCAAATATGCTCAAAATGTCCCCCCCAAATATATTGCTATAAAATAGATTTCTGTTTATGTGATTGTGGTTATGGTTGTACTTTATGAATCCCTAATCTCTGCCATTATATACAATGAAACAAGAAAAGGTAAAAAAAAAACAGAAGAATGGAATACAATACACTATTAGACATTATTGTAAAAAAAAAGTCCATTCCATGTGTTAGTGAATTTTTTTTATATTTTAGGCAGGAAATTAGTTTTCAAATTAAGATTTTTTTTTCACAATTAACAGGATAATTCGTGCTTGACCGCGCCACCAGCGAGGCACAGAGCACGATTGTGTTGGCATTACTTCGTTTAATCACATTACCACTGTCAGAAATGCCTCTGAAGTCACTCTTGCCTTGGGCAGACGAGTGCGTGAGTTGAAACCGAATTTACCACGCGGTTTCCAAAGAGTCAGTTGTGTGTGTGTTGAGTCGTGTGTGGTACAATTTAATCGGAAGACCGGCAAACAGAATTAACAAAACACCAGCCCTGAAGTGCTTCATAAAATTACAGAATGAATCTAGTTACAGAATTATCTTAACAAAATATTGTTCAGGAAAAAACATACATCTGAAAATACAATTCCTTTTTGTGAGGTGGAGAATGTTGACAAGACAGAGATGAGACATTGACCAAAAGAGACAGAGGAAGATGCCACTTAGGATGAAGACAAAACTTAACTCTAGAAACTTAAATTTCGATTTAAGGCTTTCGTGACTGCAGGGATTCATCTTCTTGGTTCTTTCGGTAAAGGTCACGTAGAATGGAAATAATAAAATAATAAAAATAAAACACTATAAAATAATTCTCACGACGTTTCGGCCACAACGCAAGCAGCCGTCCTCAGGTGGAGAACAGGTCTGTCGAGAAGAAACTTATAATTATTAAGCTCATGATGTGGATATGGTTAATCCCACGTGAGTCCCGTAGCAGTTGCGTATGGAATGCAGTCTCCACGGTGTGATCGTGCTACGGGCGCCATGGCACAAGACAAAAAAGTTTCCACTCGGAAACTCTTGGCTTCTGAAGCCGCTTCAATCGCTTCCTATCCTACAGCACGACAGCCGATGCATTACCCTCTGTGCCGTGCAAAGTGTCCATCAGCATGGCAATATTGTACAACATTCATTAAGGGGCCGTCCATAAATGACGTCACGCACCTAGGGGGGGGGGGGTTCAGACATTTGTGACGATGTGTGACGAGGGGGGGGGGGGGTTGAGAAATGTGACGTCACATCAAAATGCGCAACTTTAAATAAATATAGACAACACGTTCTACTTAATTAAATATACTTTTTAATGTTTTCTCCTACAACATCAAAGTGCAGCGGCACATTAAATACGCACTACAATGACAATAGTTTAAAGCGATTTGAAGCATGTTTCATATTTTTGGGGGGGGCAGAGCTTTGTGACGTCATATTTGAGGGGGGGTCTGACTTTTTGTGACGCCGTGTGACGATGGGGGGGGGGGGGGGTCAAAAATCGTCCAAAATCGCGTGACGTCATTTATGGACGGCCCCCTAACCCCTCGGCGTTCAATTAAGCCAAGCGTGAGTGCCAAACCACTTAAAATACGAGCACGCGTTGTTGTTGTTTTTTGCGTGGTGACGATCGACCGCCAATGAGTTAATCGGCTCACGACTCCTGCCGCCGCTCCTCTCGAGAACCTGGCCGCGTGGCCGGGGATGATTCGAGGGGTTGCTGGCTGAGTGCCCCGAGTTTGGATGTCCGCCTCGGGGCAATGACCTCCCAACACCGCACCGCTCACTCGCGGTCACGTGCGTCTCGCGGTTAACATTCACAGAGCAGCCCTTTTAGCTTAATGCGACGGTAACAATAGAATGTGTGTCGGGTGTCACGGGGCGCAAGGGCCGAGGAACGCGTGACCCGCGATGGAGGGGTACTTCGGGATCACGACGGGGAAGAGGACACCAAGCTCGCCATTTACAGGGCGAGGAAGGTGGCCCTGGAGGGGAAATGTCCGGCCAGCAGCTTGGGCATTTTCCGCGCTTGGTTGGAGCCCCCAGGGTGTGTGGGCTGGAGTTCCGCCATGCACGGCTGACCCACGCCGTGCCGGCCTTCAAGAAGCAGTGGGCGATGGAGGAGGCCGTGTGCTCGGTGGCAGATGACGGGGAGCTCTGCATGCTGATATGAGCTACCCGTCGGAGGCCGTCGGACTGCGAGAAGGGCTGCGTGCAGAACGAGAGAGAGCGAGCGAGAGAGCGAGAGAGTGACCGAGAGAGTGAGCGAGAGGTGGGGGTTGACATAAAGCTAAGTTTAAAAATGTAAAAAAAAAATTACGAAATGATGAACGAAGCAAAGTGCCGAATACACCGAGCATCTTCTTGTTTCCACTGATCGTAAAAAAGGAGGGGTGGGAAGGAGTGGAGGGGGGCGAGGGAAGAGAATGGGCAACGGCGCGTTCACGGCTGCCGTGGCAAGCCGCAAGCATCCTGCACGTGTTCGTTTGTTGTTTAAACCCAGTTGCTGCGCAGAAGTCCAAACACCCCTAAAACAACACGCGGTCAGCAACAAGCAGCAAACTCAAAGTTGTAATCGGTAAGAGCGTGAACGCTCAAACCTATGATGCAATTGTTAAAAGGCACTTCTCTACGCAAGTCTTTAATGTGTTGGAAGAATTGAAGGTTATAGTTAGGCAGCGATTATGGGGAGTGGCTTCTGAGATAAAAGCTTAAGGTGATGCTATCCGCATATCTGATTAGCACGGCTGGCTACGTACGGTGCGAAAGAAGTTCAACATACATCTGCATGAAGGATTCGGAGCTGGTGAACGTGACTGGAGGCACGATATCAACACGATGCTGGTGCGATACGAATCTGTATGGCAGCAGCTTAAAGTCTCCGAAGCCAGATACGATCTCCCAGCCAGCAAGCAGCCTGGCCTGCCGCAGACCCTCACTCAACCACTCTGTCACGACACCTGTGTGTGCACGGCGCTCGTGGTTATTTCGTCACGTTTGTGGGTTCGCTGTGAAACGTCAGCGGAGGAGGCACTTGAGGTGCAGGTCTCTACATTTATTGGAAAAAAAAAATACCACTTTGAATGTACAAGCGGTACACGTTGAAGCCTCTCAGCAGAGACGGCGTTTATTGACGATTGCAAACGCTGCTCAGAATCTGCAATTGGCTCTGTCAGCCAAACGGAGCGGCCTCAATAAGCGACGGATGGAAACCTGCACACAAGAGAGCCGACCACAATTGAGTAAATGTTTTCTTTCAGGAAAGACCTTAACAGATTTTACAGTATATATGTCATACCTGTCAACCCCTTTTCAGTGACTACCTTATAACAGAGCAATTCAGACCTTATTGGTCACCCCGTGCTTTTATAAATCTCAACGTTCATTCTACAAAGTCCCATCACAAGGGAGAAAGACATTTCTTTGCCCACATTGAAACGGCTGTACGCCGTATGGACCTGCAAACGAAATTTATTTCAAAAAGAATGCGGGTAAACGGTATAGGTTGACAGGTATGTATATATTTTTTTTTATCTTCCAGTAAACTCACGTTACCAATGCCTCTTCGCTCTTGGTGGAAGGGGGGGGGGGAGGTTACTACGAATCGAAGCCAGCTGTGGTCGCTGTTCAATTGTTGAGGCTAATGCCCCCCCTACCGTCGTGACACGAGGCCGGCACTGGGTCAGTGCTGCTGGGGCTGGCGTTGACAAAGGCGACATGGGGATAGAGTGGGCCGCTTCGCCGGCTTATGGCGTTCAGTCTATTTGGATGATAACCCACAAGCAATGCAGTTCAGCAGTTGGTGGGAATCGCGTTCAGACGTTTACAATAGCAGTGGTCGATGAAAGAAACAGCTTCGTTGCTTCCTGCAAAATACACAGCCTTCCCACTGCAACGCGACGTCTCTCAAGGCTGTGGATTTTGACGCGGCCTTGTAAAACAGCGACAGTCGGGACGGCAAGGCACTTGGGACCCAGAATGGCCCAGTGGCACACGAAATGAGGGCGACTCGGAGAGAGAGAGGGCGACTCGGAGAGACAGGATGACGTGGAGAGGATGATTCGGAGAGACAGGGCGACTCTGAAAGGACGGAGGAATCAGAAGCCGGATTGGGAGAGCAGCAGCGGCAGCGGCGGCAGCGGCGGCGGCGGCAATAGCAGCGGCAGCAGCACCAGTGGTAGCAGCGGCAGCAGCGGTAGCAGCGGCAGCAGCGGTAGCAGCGGCAGCAGCCACAGCAGCGGCAGCAGCAGCACCAGCAGTAGCAGCGGCAACTACGCCGTGAGGAGCTCCGCGCCAACACGTGCCGAGCTCTGCTTGTCGTTATCGTATCATCACGTTAGCACACGATGGTGTCAATAACACTTCTATTTACCAAACAAAAAAACACGATATGTTCATGAAATAATACTTACAAGGATTTAGGTGAAGTCGAAAATAGTTTTTGTGGAGGAACAAATGTCAAACGACACGGTGCATTTCAGTACTTAGACTATGTTTTTATTATAATTGTTATTATGTACATTCCAAAAAAAAGATTTGTCAATATATTGCAGCCATTGGGACAAAACTAATTTATACATCTCGGTGAAATTAAATTACAATTAAAACTTTGGCTTCATCAAAACACCGACGCATCAGAAGCCACCGACCACCGGAGCAGCGGGCAGCAGATCTCAGGGACGCGCAAACGCACCGAACGCCTTCAGGAAAATCGTGAGCACGGCAGAAGGGCACGGTTGTTGACACACGGGGGATCGACCTTCGTACATTGATCCGTAAACAATACCGGCTCCCCCCCCCCCTCGCTCTGTGCGGCAGTAGTAGTCGTATTAGTAGAAGATGCATTCCAAGAAAAGGGGGCACACAAAGCGAAAACCGCACGAGGAGGGCAGCTGCCTGCCGAGTCGCACGCACAGTACCCACAGTACCCACAGTACACACGCACAATTCTGTCCCACGCCCGACCGCATAACCGCACGAGTGAATTCCAACCGCATAACGCGAATTCTGGGTAGAAAGAGGTTAGCCGCATTTCATATACAGCGGGGAATTTGCAAAAGTGCTGATATTTGTTGCTTTGGAAGCTAATAATAAGTCGTTCCTGAGTGATGTGAGTGGTGGTGGCTTAACGATCCGATTTAGAAGAAAGCACAGTGGGGTGGAAGGAGTCAGTTGACTATTGATAAATACAGTTCAGTTTTCCGATGGGTCTAAGTTTATTTAGAAAAACCACGACTCAACCGTTCACATCACTGTTCCCATGGGGGCCTCATGTCTGCTAACCACAAGAGGTGGTTGAGACAGATGTGCACGCTATATAGAATAGCCACAATCCCCAGCCTCAAACTGCCACATGAAGGGGTTGGTCGGTTGGCGGATCTGGCACTGCAAGAGGTGGTTGAGACAGATGTGCACGCTATACAGAATAGCCACAATCCCCAGCCTCAAACTGCCACATGAAGGGGTTGGTCGGTTGGCGGATCTGGCACTGCAAGAGGTGGTTGAGACAGATGTGCACGCTATATAGAATAGCCACAATCCCCAGCCTCAAACTGCCACATGAAGGGGTTGGTCGGTTGGCGGATCTGGCACTGCAAGAGGTGGTTGAGACAGATGTGCACGCTATATAGAATAGCCACAATCCCCAGCCTCAAACTGCCACATGAAGGGGTTGGTCGGTTGGCGGATCTGGCACTGCAAGAGGTGGTTGAGACAGATGTGCACGCTATATAGAATAGCCACAATCCCCAGCCTCAAACTGCCACATGAAGGGGTTGGTCGGTTGGCGGATCTGGCACTGCAAGAGGTGGTTGAGACAGATGTGCACGCTATATAGAATAGCCACAATCCCCAGCCTCAAACTGCCACATGAAGGGGTTGGTCGGTTGGCGGATCTGGCACTGCAAGAGGTGGTTGAGACAGATGTGCACGCTATATAGAATAGCCACAATCCCCAGCCTCAAACTGCCACATGAAGGGGTTGGTCGGTTGGCGGATCTGGCACTGCAATGCTCAGACCAATAGACGCTCACCCACACTGCCATCTCCGACTGCCAACCGATGCTTCTCCCGTCACCCAAACGATCTCTGCGATATTCAAAGATGCACATTGCGGCAAACGTTGCTACACATACATGTTTACATTTTCTGAAATACATGTAAGTGTATTACAAATACTGTGCTCTGTTTCTGTCCGAGAGAAGATGACGTCAGTGATAAACAAACTCTAATATTCCTTATAATTGCATGTGGTTTTTTTTTTCCATAAAAATTCACAGAAGTACACATTTGAACCTTATCAGTTGCGGCGAGTCTCAAAGTCAGTGCTCGGACCGCTCAGTGCAACGATGGCAAACGCCCCCACCCCCAATCCCAGATGGGGCCTCTGAGGGGGTCCTGGTGATGCGGTTTGTGAGCTCCAGATGGTGTGACTGGATGCTACGTTGCTTAAACACATCTTGACATTAAAGTCGATTGTCTCACATTTTATCTTAGTCTGAATAATACTTATAATTTTTTTTGCCAACGACCAGGCATTAAGATTGGCTGTAAACGATGCTGGGAGTTTAGAGTGTACCCAATGCCCTCTTGTTGACATGAGTGCCCCAAGTGGCGAGCTGTTGTGGGCACGAGCTAAGGACAAACGCACGCGCAAGGGGAGGGAATTCAACTGCATCGATCGGGTCGACTGCTACGTTGCTGATCAATGTACAAGGTCACACTGTCAGCTCCAGGCTGGTGATGTCTTCAACCCGCTATATATACACACACACTTAAGGTCTGCAACATAGTGCATGTTTTGTCCTGTTCACATGCAACCCTTAACATTGTTGCATTACTTATCATTCGTTATTGGCCTGTACAGGCATTGGTAAGAATAATATGAACTTCTACTGGCTAAAAGTACCTTCTTCGGCCCATCATCCCACACCTTCGTTTATGTTGAAAGTCAAAGGGTAACGCGTGTCACCGGGGTAAGCAAAACACATTTGGCAAAAATGAGAACGAGTTCCGACCGCTCCTGCCCGACGAACACATCTTATATACAGTATATTCTGATTCACCCCGACGCAGGCATGAGATCAGCTACCTCCCTTAAAGCGCGGCCCTGGGCCTCACAATCGTGTCACCGTCGTCGCCTCTGACGTTACATCGCGAGACTAAAGTTTACGACTGCAAAGCCGCCGGAGTGCGTGCCCCTGCGAGCGGAATGGTGGCTCGTGCTCCTCAAGTCCGCCCCCCCCCCCCCCCCCGGCGTGAGCGCCCGTGGTGCCTCCGGGCGCTACCGGTCGCGGATGTCAAAGAGGCTCTCGGCATCGCTGTCCGAGTCGTTGGCGAGGCCGTTCCGGAGCAGCAGCTCCACGGCCTCCTCGCGCTCGCGCACAGCCGGCTCCACCTCTGCCGGATGACATCGAGCAGCCACGCACAACGAGCAACAACTGAACAACAAGCCCACGGCTCAACAACAAGTACGCAACTCACCAAGCCTACGAGTCAAAGTGACTTTCTGCACAACCACGCGTGGGGATAGCGGTCGTATCCTGTTCAGGCGTTGACATGCCAAGTTGCGCCGTGGTGAGCCAGAGTCTATCCACAGCTCACTCACAGTTGGGATCCGATTTAGCAAGTAGCACCTATAAAGGTCAGCAAGGTGCACAAAGGCACCGGGCCGCCTTTGTCTTCCCAGTGCTGACGTTTGCACACCGCAGCGGGTACTGATTTAAGGCTGCGTCGACAGAGGCATTTTTGCAGAGGCCAGATCGTGGATGAAAGCCACAGACGCCGGCCGAGGAGTGAATGCCGCGGTTGTGGACCGGAGTCCGTACCAGGTGGCCGCAGCGCCTTGAGTGCCACATGCAGCGAGATGCCTGCCAGGCACACTCCGAAGCCCACCCAGTTGAGCGGAGACATGATGTCCCCGTTGATGTGCGTGGCCAGCACCAGCGTGCACACCTCCTGAAACACCAAATGGGACGCAGACATTACTCTCCAGGGGAACGCAGGTACCCGCGCCCGCAAGCGTACAGGTGCGCACGTAACACAAACAGTTGTCGAGGAAGAGCAATGCCCACGCTGATAATAGAGCCGGCTCACAATGCCTGCTCAGAGCAAGATTAACAATCTACGGGATGAACGTCTTCTTAACACCACATGATCCGGAGGATCAGCTTACAGGGATTTACCAAATCGCACCCAAGTTAAACCTACGTCAATACCTGCCTCAGCAATCACCCTGCGCTTGCTACAAACATCGTTCGTTCGTTTCTCAATCCGCTTGGTCCTGGTGTGGGTCGCGGCGGCAGCATGTGGAGTAGGGTGGTCCACATCTCCCTTTCCCTGGCCACAGACTCGCGCTCTTCATGGGGAATTCCCAGGCGTTTCCAGGCCAGCCGAGCGACATCGTCCCACCCAGCGTGTCCTGGGCCGGCCCTGGGGTCTTCGCCCAATGGGACGTGCTGCCCGGTAGAGGTCCAGGGGGAGTCTATTGGGGGGCATCCTTCCAAGGTGCCCGAACCACCTCAACTGGCTCCTCTCGATCCGGAGGAACAGCGGCTAGACTCTGAGGCTCTCCCGGATTACCGAGCTCCTCATCTGATCACGGAGAGTGAGCCAGGCAACCCACCGGGGAAACCTCATTTCGGCCCCTTGTGCCCACGATCTCATCCTTTCGGTCATTACCCAAAGCTCATGACCATAGGCGAGGGTGGGAATGTAGATCGACCTGCTACAAATATACACGTGTTAAATATGCTATCTTGACCCGTTGCTTTGGCTCCGATTGCTATTTGTTCCCTAGCTGATCTCAGTTTTCATGTCAGTGCTGTTGTCATTTCGGTAAACCATGTCACTTTTGCATACGAGACAATTGTGGTTGAACAAAAAAAAAAGGCCAATTAATTATTCCTGATCCAGGGGCTGCATCAAGCGGAGCCACGGCGTGCCCACTAAACGACACGGCGCTGCACGCCATGGGGGCTACGCCACGGCCAACGCGGCCCTAGCTGAGATGGCTGGTTTACTCGTAACAAAGACAAAGATCCCCCGTATAGCCTTACTAGACTGTTGGGGCAAGTGCTATTAAGCGAGCACCTATGAAGGTCGGAACGGCACACGAGGGAGTGGGTGGCCAGCACAACGCACGGCCACCTTTGTCTCCCCGGTGATGATGTTTACACACCGCACCAGGTACTCATTTGAGGCTGAGTCGACTTAGGGGAGGCCCAGGATCGGTTCAGATAATCGTCACTCCTGTTGACCGTGAGCGTGAATCGAACTCAGGTCACTGGGTTCGTAGCGCAGCGCGCTCATCGCTACACCACCGATCCCCATCGATGGTGGCGATGTGCCGCCGCCGTCGTCTGTCGCGCTGCTCACGCAGGAAACGAAAATCGTCGTTCCGTCTCTCTATCAGTCGTCCGCCTGGACACATTTCCTCTCCTTTGGCGACTATTCCGTCACCAGCCCTGTCCAGCGGCATATGCGTGTATCAGGCTTAGTGGTGACGCGGCCCGCCCAAGGCCCATTTACTTTCGTTTATCGTCGGCGGAAGCAGTAAAGTGACAATTGGAATTAACAGAGGCAGCAGAGGGAACAAGTGTATCAGAGCATAAACGCAAATCAGAAACGTCATATTGACAATGAAAACAGCGGTACGTGCTCTCCAAGCAATCGACCATTGGAAAAGAACAAGACAAAAACACCTCTACATATATATATATATAAACAAAGCATAGCAAAAAGCAACTGGCCTTGAAAATGCCGGAAATGGAGAGAGTGAGGCCGGAGGTTTGGGAGACCAGCAGGAACTCGGAGAAGCTGAGGCCAAACGCGAGCACGCCTCCGAGCGCCAGCGTGCCCACCGACCACAGCAGCACCTCGCTGTCATGGAAGCCAAACAGCTTCTCCGTGCACGCCAAGCTCACACCTGCAGGCGTGGGGGGGGGAGGGGGGGGCAGACAACACGAGAGAGGTCAGCGTCACACCAGCAACGCACCAACGCTTGAAGGCAGCACTTTTATTTTTCTGATTATAATTCACACTTGCCGAGCCAGAAAATCCTCGACGAGTCTCAAAGCTCTTTTTCAGGAAGGACCTGCTAAGTTTTTTCAGTCGGAGGCGATGTTGCTGCGTGTAATCCCAATTGAGTAATTTGCAAGACATTTTTCCACATTGGATTGGGATGTTTTGGCCAATACCAGGAAACCAAAGAGCCAGGAGAAAACCCATGAAGAACAGGGGGAGAACACACAATCTCCACTCACTCACTCTGTAGAACAGGAGGAGAACACACAAACTCCACTCACTCACTCTGTAGAACATGGGGAGATCACACAAACTCCACTCACTCACTCTGTAGAACAGGGGGAGAACATACAAACTCCACTCACTCACTCTGTAGAACAGGAGGAGAACACACAAACTCCATTCACTAACTCTGTAGAACATGGGGAGATCACACAAACTCCACTCACTCACTCTGTAGAACAGGAGGAGAACACAAAAACTCCACTCACTCACTCTGTAGAACAGGAGGAGAACACACAAACTCCACTCTGTAGAACAGGGGGGGGGGGGACATACAAACTCCACTCACTCTCTGCAGAACAGGGGGATATCATACAAACTCCACTCACTCACTCTGTAGAACAGGAGGAGAACACACAAACTCCACTCATTTACTCTGTAGAACAGGAGGAGATCACACAAACTCCACTCACTCTGTAGAACAGGGGCGGGGGACATACAAACTCCACTCACTCACTCTGTAGAACAGGAGGAGAACATACAAACTCCACACAGAGAGGTGCCCGAGTCAGGAATTAAACCCAGGCCGTTCTTGCTGTGAGACACAGGTGTTACCACTGCGGCACCCTGACAGTCAAACGAAAAAGAACGGACAAACATCTCCGCCCTAATGATATCAACAAAACAAATAACTTTTCCTGGGCAACTATCCGAGTAACTCACTCGTACAGTACACACTGAACCTACCGTCACGGTACCGCGAAGGGAGCGCACGTCACAATCGCTGCAACAGAAACAACGAGGACGTGTCATGGGCTTCACCTTCGTTGTAGAGGAACAGTGGGAAGAGAGCGGCGAGCATGAGGGGCTGCAGGTGATACAGAGCATCCACGGGATTGTGCAACCCTGCAAGCCAGAGACAGGAAGTCAACCATTGCCACCGCTGTCACGAGCAAGCAAAAGTCACACCGAGCTTATTCAAATTCACTCCAACACCTCGACACGCCACACACACTTGCACCTTGATCGGTGGCTGACAATACATCTGCAGAGTAGAATACGTGGGAAAAGCCCTTTTATACTGGTAGGAACCTCCTGGTTACACCAGCCCACAGGGGATTATTGTGTCCGTCCATCCGTCGTGCATCCAAAAATGGGAGGGGTGGGGCTGGGTGGAGAGGGGAGGGTCGGGAGGGGCTGGGTGGGGAGGATGGGGAGGGACTGGGTGGGGAGGGGAGGGTGGGGCTGGGTGGGGAGAGTGGGGCTGGGTGGGGGGTGGGAGGGGTGGGGCTGGGTTGAGAGGGGCTGGTCACCCCGTGGTGCCCTTATAAAACTTAACGTTTAACCTACTCACGCCGGCTTGTGACCGCCCCCACAGTCGGGCATATTTGCGGAATACACCACGCCGCCGTTGACCCTGGCCATTGACCGAGCAACCCAACGTTCCTACCAGCTCCCTCCGCAGGAATGTGTTAAACAACCCACTGATTTCTAACAACCCACTGATTTCTAACTTTATTCTCAGCAGGCGATTGAATATTGTAACAGCGATGGATCCAAACCACTCTTTCAGAGGAGTGTTAAAAGATGTAATAAAGACATTGAATAAGCGCATTGACAATGGTTGGTGCATGGACTTTGAACGTAAATGTAGCATTCTCTACAATTTCTCCCTATTAATTTAGTGGGATATCTACAAGTGGATCACGCGTGTAAAAAAACTGGAATTACAATGGGAATGCCACCTGGAGCAAAGGTGGTGCTGAAACAACCCGACGGTATTCCGCCAGGTGCCACCTCTGCTGTGTAATGCCTCGGTCGCAAGTTAACAGAGTCGACTGTTGAGAAACTGGATGAATGATGTGGAGATGGGGGACCCATTCCATACGCCTTGAGCAAAATACAATCACACGTTTCTGCAAAGTGCATGGGGACTTTCACACTGCACCTCGACATTGCTAAAGAAATTGCATGGGACGATGTTGAAGTGTGTTACTCTGGATCGACTGTTAAGGAATCGTGTCCTGCAATCAGCAGAAGGCGACAGCTATACCAAAAACGCAATGGCAACTGACATCATTGCATCTTACAAAAAATAACATTTACACAGAGCCTTTTGTCAATCCACCATGTCAGTCTTGGGGGTGGTTTGATCATACTTCACCACGCCGGGCCATGCGGGTCGGCAAAGTTGTGGGAGGGGGTGGAGGCAGGATCGGTTCGAACACAGCGGATGTTATCCACGGCTGGGAATCGAACCGAGGTTGTCCGCTTCATGAACTAACCACTGCATCACCGCCTCTCCCCCCCCCCGTCATACATTAGAGCAGTGCTTCTTAACCTGGGGTGCACTCGCCCTCTGGGGGCGCGAGGTGCCCTTTCTGAGAATCATAGGGGTGCAGATTGCAGTAAAGAACCACTGCATTAGAGAGGTGAAAGTGACACACTTGTAAACACGCCCGCATGTGTGTCGGCGGCATGGTGTGGGGGGGGGAGGCGGTGATGTGGTCCAGCCATGGCGCATTTGCGGCTTGTTGCGTAAGTTTGCGGTTCGACTCTGGCCGGCCGGCCGCCCTGCTTAATACTGCAGTGCATTATAAATACTACAACTGCTTACCACTACGTGGCAACTGCTTCACATGCTCTGCAAATTTACACAAGTGGGATTACACAGAGCAATATCGGCAACTACTGTGGGGCGCAAACCACGGCAGCAGATGTGGACATGTGATGATGCACAAATGGGAAATTAAATACACTTCGGGCTGTGCGCGGCGACTGTGGTCACCGCCCAGAACAGAACCGTGGAGCGAGTGACGTGGATTCGGTGCCCGATTTACAAACACAAGGGAGGAGGTACACCACAGTTATTCACTCAGTTACCCCCGACGCAATCAACTTACTCAACGGCCTCATAGTAAAATTATAGCTGCAGCTCTACACCCACGTCAGCCGTACAAAGAAGACTGTGAAATCTCCAACGTAAGGAAGCCACTGGAGCTATGCACTTTTAAATCTAGAAGGCTGTCTCATCTTTAGAAGGCTGTGTCTGACTCTCGTGTTTTAACATCTTAACACCTGTTGTATTGCCAGAAAGGTTAAAACCTATTCTTATTTAAATCCTTTATATTAAGTTCGCTTGCTTGCTTGCGCGCTTACGACCGTGCAAATCTTTCGGTCGTTTTTTAACCCACTTCCCGTGATCCAATCTAGCTGACATTTTGCACACAGACTCGTTGTGCGTGACAATTAATTTTCGTGAATTTTTTTTGCAAAATTTGACACTTTTTAGGAATTTTTTTAAAATATTTAATTACCAATTGCTTAATGCTGCCAGGCAATCATCTGACCCATAGGTGGCAGCCATCTCAAGCCAGAGGACGAGAGGACTCTAGCCGCCACGCATATAAAGGATTTATAGTGAAAAACTTTGTTTTTACGGGTACATTTTTTTTTTCAACGTATTCTTTTCATGATTATGTCGCACGTGCAACATGCGGTGGGGGGGGGGGGGGGGTAGGGCGGGGGGGTGTTGCGGCCCACAAACCGAGCTCTGCCTTCTGAGTGAGGATCTGGGTGAGCGTCCAGCGGATCCCGCCGATGAACGAGGCGGTGAGCACGAGCAGGAAGCCCTCCAGGTTGAACTGGGTTGACTCGTAGGTGAACATGAAGAGGCCGCCCGCAATGAGGCTCACCACCACGATGAGGCTCGGCCGCTACGCGACAACAACCGTCGCAACGTCACAACGACAACCATGGTCCAAACGAGCACAGGGACACCGTGGCCAAGGTACACGAGGCCTCCACCTGGAGAGAGGTTGCAAGGTGCGGGAGATCTCCCCCTTGTGTTCGCTCGGAGGTCCGCAATGTTTCATTCACGGTAAGTAACTATGCTAAGTTTGTGAGAAATTCTGGATCGCTGCACTAAACATCGTTATACACTTCCCATGCCGCTAGACAGACGCTGACATTAACGCGACGATTTTGAGATGGCTCTGAACTCTGAGCTAAAAAAGTCCAAATAAGCGTGAATGTAACGAGTTACGGATGATGAATTTGTAGTCGGAGGGAGTAGTGGTCAATAAATGATCAAGAAGAAACAGTATACTCTCTGGTTCTTTCGGTAAAGACGGACGCTTGTGTTGCGACCGAAACGTCGTGTTTTCTTTTGTTATTTTTTCTACCTACGTGACTTTACCGAAAGAACCAGAGTGTGGATTCCTGCAGTCACGAAAGTTTCAAATCAAGAAGAAACAGGTGTGAGATTGAACCGAGCAGGAACACTGGCTAAAGAAAGTAACTATCAGCAGAACGCTGTCTCTCCACACACAAATACAAATATTCATGAGTCCATCAGCCCATCGGCTTTCTAGACCAACATCGATCAGCATTTGTTTAAGTAAGAAAACTGTGGACCGGTTTAAACATTAGAGGTCTTATCAACAGTTAGGCCCGTAAAACAAATGCTGTGGGATTACCAGCTGTAATTGAAAAGAGCACTCGAAGTTAAATATGGGGCCCCATATACATGCCGTTATGAAGTTCTCTTGCCAACATGCGGCAATATAATTTTATGGAGTTCTCTTTCAATTTGCCAACTTCACCTTTATGCGGGGTTATAAATAGATAAATCACCTTACAAGACCCTCTTTAGTCATGTATTTATTGTGATTACTACCTCTGACAGCACCACAATAAGCGTGGCATACTTGTAGATAAGTGGGGGCATGTGGAGGCATGTAGAGCCGTGCAATGTCGCATGAAACTAAGAGTGGTGTGTGTGCCAACAGGGTACTCACAGCCCTCTCCAGCCTGAACACGATGGAGAAGAGGAGGATGAAGATGATCGACGTTGACTTGGTCATGGTGTATCTGGATGGGACCAACAAAAAGAAACATCAGAAATTACATTCGCAATAATAATTTAGTGCATTACGGTATTCGTGATATTCCTATAGCTCAGTCTGCCAGTAGGGAGGGGGTGAGAATGTTGCGATGGTAATCCCAATTGAGTAACGCAGGTACATTTTAAATGTTGGCAAATTTGGACTGTGACCCTAGCACACAAGGACTTATTTTTTCCGAATTACATCAACTGTGTCGTGTTCTGTTACTACGCACAGCGCAGCCTGCTGGATTCAAACCACGAAACTCTGCAACAAGCGGAAAACGAGCTACCGCTGGGCCGTGTCACCAAAAATAAAATCTCATTGCCAAGAACACTCTACACCCTGACCTTACTAAGTAATTATTTGAAAACTCGACGACAGCCAATGGATATATTTATTTCATACACAAATAAGAATTAAAGTTGCATTTTTGAAGTGGTATGAAAGTGAGAGAAAACTTATTTTCCGTCACTAGAAATGACTTCCTCCAAAGGCGGATCTATAAAACTTCCCAAAAGATAGTAATGCTCCCAGAATACCAAGGTCCAATGTTAAACACAATAACCATGCTATTTTATCTGATAAATATCGAAACCCAATAGAACTTTCAGGGACTCGAGAGAGGGGGCCAATGCCTCCTTGAAACCACCACTGCCCTCCTTTAGTCTTCACATAGATTATAAAATATTGATATTACATGAAACATCAATGCTGAGGATGTTAAAGTATGGTACAAAAATAATCTTCACATTCCACCGATCGTGCATTCACGTCAGCTTTTAATTCTGGCCATATTGGTTTTATTTGCAGTTGTATTTCCTTAATATTATAGCAAATGCATTTGTGACATACTTTGAATTCATGGACCTGCATTCTGTAACTCTCAACGAAACCTACAGTGGATGCCATATGGATTCAACTTTTCCAAAACAACGCTCCACAAAGACATTTCAGCACATCGAATGCCTGTATGAATTACAGGCCCATTACCAAATTTCTTTGAGTGTGCCAGACCTCATCGGATCTCGGAAGCTCAGCCTGGAAAGTGCTTGGATGGGTGTTATAGGCTACATGGTGGATAGTAGAGGGCGGTGCAGCAATACCCATTGTTGTACATGCTATGAAGAGGCCCCATTGACCAAAACGTTACCAATTACATTTTGCTTTTAAGGCAGTGTTGTTGACAAGTGCATTGAGTTTCACTGTTGTACTGTACTTTCTACGCACCCGCATCCATGCAACCCGCTTCACCATCCCGCACAGACCAGCAGTGGATTGACAAAGGGACTCTACGTAAAAAAAATAACTGTACGCGTATGCGTGCATATATGCAAACGATGTGTGCATGCACAAGCACGCTCGTGTTCGTGCCCATGAACGTGTGGACTCGTACACGTGAACGTTCAAATTGATAAGACATCAACGCTCTGACTCACAATGAAATTGTAATGAACAGGAAACTCCAGTTAGACAGGCCAATATCCAGGGCGCTCGCAATGGCTGAAAACAAACAGAAGAATGATTACATATTAAACTTGTTAATGCAGGAATGTTTTGAATGTGGCAAACTTGGACACTGACACCAGCACACAGTGCAATAAACATCAGTCAGTGTTGCAGGCCTCAAGGCCATGGCCACGGGGCAACATGAAGTATCGTTCTCATGGTCTGTCAGGACGCTGGAAAATATCTCAGGTCCAATGACCAAGGTGCACATTTCCCAAGATGGTGGAAAGACATTTCCCGCAAATATTCGAGTACAAGACACAGGGCAACTGCTGACAACCTCCACAGATTGGACTGTTCTATTGCTCAATGTTGGTGTGAAGTAGATTCTGACAATAATTAAAGCCTCTACATCATTGGACCTCCTTTGCCAGTACCAAAATATAATAATAGGGTTTTTCCCCTTTTTTTCTGGCAACAAAACGGAAACCTTTTTACAAGAATTCATGTCTGCATTAATCACAATACTTGCAGTCAAATGCAAACAAAAAACACGCAATGATAATACATGCATTGTCCATGACACTGATTGGTCCTCTGGTCGAGCACCAATTGGGTCGAGGCTCAAAAGAAAGCCGTCCCTTGATGTGGACCAATCAGTGTCACGGACAATGCATGTATTATCATTGCGTGTTTTTTGTTTGCATTTGACTGCAAGTATTGTGGTTAATGCAGACATGAATCCTTGTAAAAAGGTTTCAGTTTTGTTGCCAGAAAAAAGGGGAAAAACCCTATTATTAATAATTAAAGCCGTTCTTGCACCCTGGCCATGTGCTATTTGCCTGCCCATAGAGATAAAAGTAGGGTACGGGTACCCGTTTGCGACCCTGGTACGGCCGGGTACGGGTAAGGAATCAAAACCCGCTTGCGACCTCTGCCGTCTCACCCGTGGGCCCCACGCGCTTGAGGTACTCGGGCCAAGGCAGGGCCACGCGCTCCCGCTCCCCGGCGCACTGCATCATCGCTCGCACCAGTGCCGAAAACATGAAGTTCATGGCCATGTGCACCATGGTCATGGCCAGCGGGAAGTGGAAACCCTGGGGAAAACAAACAGATGGGGCGTGGCGTCGGTGACGGGCACGGTGCAGTCGCTATCACGTATCGCGTTCCCATTGTGCTGGCGGCCCCTTGCTGCGTGGCGGCACAGAAGACGTCCCTTTGGTAAATCTTGACAGCAAACACAATGTTTGCGTGACGTTGGGGAATGGGCACCCTGAACAGGATGTCACAGGGCTACTTTTGTTGTACGTTTTGGTTCTGAAAACATTCACATGAATGAAGATGGAAACAAAGTTGGTGATCTTAACTAAATTTTATCACAATTTGCGATCGGCATCAAGGCCTTAACGAGCCAAAGTACACGTCAGATCTGTCGCAGAGCAACCCTTCATGTTGGTGGATTGCCTACGGAAGTGGGTATCACAGAGCTACCTCTGAACTACCTTAAAGTGACCCCTGGGGTCCACAAATAGCAGAGTGCAGCACTTCCCACTCGCTCTGCACTACGAGAGTGACATTTGTCACATGCAAGTAAAAACGTTGATAATTGTTTTTTTTACCATTCTATCTGGCAACAAAACTGACACCTTTTTTTACAAGGAGTCATGTTTACATAGACCACAATACCTGCAGTCATAATGCAAACAAAAAACATAAAAAGGTGTCAGTTTTGTTGCCAGATAGAAGGGTAAAAAACCAATTATCATATTTTTTACTGGCAAATGAGGTTCCAATGGAGTAAAAACGTTATTTACACTTTGAGAGATAGCATTTTAGCCAAATTAATCGTGAAAACCAAATTTAATAAGATGCCCTTTTTGATGAGGTAAAGAAAACGAATCAACCAGCAACACTTCAAAACCTGGTTGAATCATTGGTAGCTGCCCAGATGCGATCCAATTGTTGTCAGATCAGCGCTCAGATTCCTGAATCACGTAGCTACTTCATCCCCGTCACATCTTTGTGGGCTCAGCACGTCTCTCAGGTTACCGAGCGTACAGTGTCCGTGCGTTAGATGTCCAACAATTCACCCCTCACTATTCCCGCAATTAATATTTTGCCTTGATTCAGGGTCATACGAAATCAACTCAAGAATCAATATACTGTCTTGTTTGTTCAGTCTCGTCTGCACCATCTGAATGTCTTGTTTGTGCCATCGGTAAGGATACATGTACATTTTGTAGGAGTTTGCACAAAAGTTAAATAATTAGTTTTAACAAAGCAAGATTCGTTTCGTGAATTGCAACAATAATAATCGATGCTCGGCAATGAATCCTCAGCGTTTCAGTCGACAGTTGCACGTATATACCTATTTGTTAACAAGGGTCATCCTTTAGACACCAGCCAATGCTGTCCCAACAGCGGACACACAACTGCATTCAAATCAGTGTGTGGATATTGCTGAACTTCTGTCTCCGATGTATCTCACTGATGACAGTAGCCACTACAAAACATTACTCTGGTTGTACAGTACCTGAATTTTTTACACAGCGACATATTGGCCAACTGCCTTTCACCATCATAATGCACACGTGTAAGTACCCTTTGTTAAGTTGAAGGGATATGCATCCCCTCTGTTGGGCCTGCGTATTGCAGGGTTTTTACATTAAAAAAAACTGTTAGCCTTGCTTCATGTGAAGTTTCACGCACACAGGGAATACAATGTACTGTAAACTCAATCCTCACCAACTTGCCAAATTTGTTTGTGAGGATTGTTGGATATTATCATCTTGGGGCACCGGTTTGAGCATGGCTTCAAACAATGGCCCAGGCTTTCCAGTCTCAGCTGGGGAGGGCGGGATGATGTATTAAAATCATGAGGAGGTAACCTATAATGCACAAGTAATGGCAGATCACTTGACCAGTTTTCCTGGAACACAGACCTGTGTTTGCTACACAAGCAGAGGAATCCACTGCTAGATGAGGGCCTAACCAAAGCCTTGTGGGCTGTGGGTTGTGCATTGTGGGAAAAAGAACGCTTTTATTAAGCCACACCATCTGCATTCCAGTTAATCTATGAAGCCACTCCCATTTGTAGGTAACTGGACACAATACTTGAGTACTCTGGATGGATTTGAATATTTGTCATGAGAAAGCCCTGTCGTTTTTAGTACAAAAATAACATGTATATTTCAATGTAGGCTTTCACGGCCAATATTATGATTCGTACTTGCTTTTATTTAGCTTTTCAACGGATTTGGTTTTTCAGAAAACCAGGAGAATGTTAAAAAGCATGAGTTTTTTTGACAATGTTTATACGTAGTTTCGCTGGAGATTATATCCAGCAGCATCAGGTGTTAGCAAGAACTCAGCTCTTGCGTGAAAGAGCTTCACAATCTGGATCCCTAATAAAAATAGAAAACTCCAGCTTTATAACACAATAAACCATAATATATTTATGGATAGCCTATTTTCACCTGCACTACAGAGATTCACCTTATTGTGATAAACTAACCTGCCAATTACAACCAACCAGCAATCAACTCTTAATAATTAAAGTAGTTCACCAGCATGTCTGCCCTAATGATACGATGGCACCAACTAAAGGCCCTGGATCAGGAAGCTCTTTCACGCAAGAGCTGAGTCCCATGTCAGACAGGGTACATCAGGGCGAGGGCCCTCACCCAGCAGTGAACTGGGCTGGTATCCCCTTCATCAAAGGGCTGGGAAAAGGGCTAGTCTCACCTTCATCAAAGGGCTAGTCTCACCTTCATCAAAGAGCTGGTCTCACCTTCATCAAAGGGCTGGTCTCACCTTCATCAAACGGCTGGTCTCACCTTCATCATCCACTTGTTGTAGAAGGTGATGCCGATGGAAAAGCTGTAGTAGAGCACCACGAGGCCCAACGTGAGCAGCGTGCGGCGGCACAGGCGGCACCAGTCGGCGCCGCTGAGCCGTCGGGCCGGCATGCAGTTGGCAGTAGAGAGAGCCTGGCCCGAGCCCACGCAGCTCTCGGCGAACTTGAGACGGATGGAGACGCGCTTGCGACCCGCTCGCTTCCCCTTCGTCATGATGCCGCGACGATGGGTCTCTCAAAAATGAAATATTGAGGCGCACTCGCCAGTTATATAGTCAAATCGCACTGATTTAATATACACGAGGCCCGGGTCTTCTTTGTAAAGTAGTTAGCATGTTCAAAGTCTTCAACAGGGAGTCACTTGCCTTGAAGGACTTCAAAAAAGTGTGTGGTACGCAAATCCCCTTTCAGATGAAACGTGTCTGAAAGAACCCCCCCCTCCCCCCCACACATTGGGTGCTCGTGATATTGACCGATGCGTCTCAACACACCAATATCTTGTCACCTCTTGCCAATGCTTAATTCACGATGTGGCGTTCCTATTCAACCTCAGGTTGCGTGTCACGACGCGTCAAGTCTTCAGAGGCTAGTCCGTGTCGCCGGACCGCCCTTTGACGTGTTCATATTTTCGGCTGAGTGAGCACGCAGAGTCAGCAGATGAATTCACTTCTCTAGCCAGTGGAAGTCGCTTTCAGCCTCACGGTATTTCACGCAGTTACAAAAGCAGTCGGGTCCTAAATTGACTTTCTCTCTCTGGCTGTGCGTGTTCCAAGTCTTTTCAAATATGCATGCACGTTTTGTCTTGACCGCGATTCAATGCCACACAATAACTTCACTTTTAGATATTATAATAAGAAGAAAACCCCGACAATCCTGCACTTGAAGGGACATTAACTCGCCCTTTAAGAGTAGTGCTGGCTCTCACACGGCCAGCTGTCAACATTCGCGCTGTGAAGTGTGCAGCTAACGTCAATAACAATGACAGCACCTCTCTGAAGCCACGGCCATCCGTGTGACAGGCGACTAGACTTTGCAATAATAAACACGAGATAATAATTATCAGCTTCTCATAAGAAACATTGACACACTTGCGTTGAGCGGTGGTCACACGTAAACAAACTCGCTACCTGCGTAATCAACACATCTCTAAGACCGTCTGTAAATGTCAATATTTTCCTCGTCGATAACTCTCTTTCCCAGTCACGGTAAACAATTCCTGCTGTGCGCAATTAATCCGCTTTTCGTCGAGTTATGTCACCGAATTTAGCACGGATGGCTACGCATGATGCGAAATAAGTTCAACAAACATACTGAATCATCGACTTGAGATCGAACGCATTTACTAAATACACCAAGCGTAATAGTACGTTGGTCAATAGCCGTTATTTTGTATAGCATAAAGAGCAGGCAGATTCTAACCAAGACAAAGCTTCAACTAGATCTCCAGACGATTTCCCCGCAGATACTGGAACACTTAAACTCCCTTTCAAGAAGGGGGTAACCCAAGCACGGCACACGAAGAACACCCAAACCGCATAGGAGAGGCGAGCACGCCGCAGTCCGCACAGATGGGTTCACGAACCCCCTTCTCGCTGTGCACTGCAACACCTCCTGACGACGATTAGAAGTTTCGTTCACTCTCTCAAATCTGTTACAGCAGACACGGAGCGGCTTGCAGAGACCACGCTCACGACTGCTGTGATTTAAAGTGCGGGCAAGAAGCCAGCCGAGGATCTAAGAGTATCGTCAAGTCCAACGTTGCCGGCTACAGTGCCGGGAAAGGCCGAGAGGAGCCGGGGGGGGGGGGGTGTGCGGCCTTGCTCGGCCCCCGACGAAGCTCGCTCTGCCTGGGCAGAGCTTCTATCCGAGGGCGGGGTTTAGGCCGCGGGCCTCGCGCCGAGAGCGATCGCCGCCGCGCGTGTGCGAGCCACCGGGCAGGATGAGACGGGCGGCGCGGCCTTGTCTCGCGTCCCGCTCGGCTCGAGAGGCGGAGGGCGGTGAGGAGGCGGAGGCCGCGGGAGACGCCGAGGCCGGCGATGTCACCGACGGACGCAGCGGGGAACCTCCACGTCACTGCGCGAGCGGGGCCCCGGCACGTGAATCCACCCCCCCAGTCCCCCCCACCCCATCCCCCAGTCCCCCCCACCCCATCCCCCAGTCCCCCCCACCCCACCCCCCCGTCCCCCCCACCCCACCCCCCCGTCCCCCCCACCCCACCCCCCCGTCCCCCCCACCCCACCCCCCCGTCCCCGTCCCCCCCCCGTCCCCCACCCCCCCAGCTCCCCCACCCCACCCCCAGTCCCCCCCCCCAAGTCTCTCTCCCACCCCCAGTACCCCCACCCCCCCAGTCCCCCCCAGTCCCCCCACCCCCAGTCCCCCCCTCCCCAGTCCCCCCCACCCCCAGTCCCCCCCCCACCCCCATTACCCCCACCCCCCAGTCCCCCCCCTCCCCAGTCCCCCCCACCCCCAGTCCCCCCCCAGTACCCCCACCCCCAGTACCCCCCACCCCCAGTCCCCCCACCCCCCAGTCCCCCACTCCCAGTCCCCCCCACCCCCAGTCCCCCCCACCCACCGCCACAGTCCCCCCCCCCCCTCCACAGTCCCCCACCCCCCTACCACTCCCCCCTCCACTCCCCACCCCACGTGCGAGGGGGGCCCCTGAACGTGAGTAGCACGCACCTTCACGCAGCAACAGCGGCGCACATCAACCGCCGCGCTCTCCATCGCTCTCCCGGCCGCGTCTCTCCTCCACTCTCTCCCCTCCCTGGGCCGACCTCCTCCCGTCCCGTCCCTCCGTCCGTCCCCACGGCCATGAGCACGTGGAGCGACTGCGCCGAGCGCTGGGCGCTGGACGCGGCCGCGCTGCTGCTGGCCGGCGTGGCCGCCCCGCTGCTGCTGCTGGTGCTGCTGCTGCTGCTGCCCGCGCTGCGCCTCCGCATCCCCTACGGCCGCTACGGCTCCCGCAGCTGGGGCCCGGGGCTGCCCCCGCGCCTCGCCTGGGTCGTGCAGGAGCTGCCCGCGCTCGCCGTGCCCCTCTGGCTCGTCAGCTGGCACGGCGCGGCCGCCGCGCTGCCGGGCGGCCACGGCGGGGATGTTTACCCGGGAGGCCCGCTCGTGCCCTGGCCCAACCACGTGCTGCTCGCCATGTTCATCGGCCACTACTTTCATCGGTGAGATGCTGATGGTGATCGATGGTGATCGATGGTGCTGCTGCTGCAGGAGGAGAGTTGGTGGAGTTTTGTTATTGCTCCTCCACTGTAGGAGCGCAGACGGTGGTGGTTTGCTTTGATGCATGGTCAGTAGTTTGGGTTGCATGGACACAATTGCACCACTCTGGCTTGTCTTTAATGTATGTGTGTGGGTCCCGATGTCGCGATGTGTGTGTCTCTATGGGTTTGCTATACAGTCTGGGTCGCATGATCACACTCGCACGACTGTGGCTCGTCTTTACCGTGCGGCCTGCTGATTCCTCAGGTCATGATGTTGCTGCTGATGCGGCTGCTGCTGATGAATTGTTATCAGCGTTGTTAAAAGTGTGTGTGGGTCGCTCTCCGACACACTGGCGTGCTGATGCAATAGATACGTCGGTGCGTTTGGTTACGTGACAACTGTATTTGTTCGTATGGCATTGTACTCACGTCTGACCCAGAAGATCAATGATTTTTAAAGGTCTTCTTGGTTCTTTCGGTAAAGTCACGTAGAAGGGAAGTAATAAAATAATAAAAATAAAACATAATAAAATAATTCTCACGACGTTTCGGCCACAACGCAAGCAGCCGTCCTCAGGTGAAAACCAGGTCTGTCGAGGCGACAGCGTCTGAATCAGACAGCGTACTTCCCTTCTACGTGACTTTACCGAAAGAACCAAGAAGACGAATCCCTGCAGTCACGAAAGCTTTAAATCGAGATTTTTATAGGTGTTTATACACTGGGCAATGCTAGACGAGTGTTTAGGCGTTTTACTTAGGAGGGTGCTGCCAAGATTTAACAGTAGGGGGCGATGTTGCTGCTCCTGCTGCCGTGTGTTCAATCGCAATTGAGTAATTTGCAGTGTCGTTCATTCTTGCAATGTCTTGGCCCAATACCAGTCACAGAGAAGAAACCAGAAAATCCGGAGTAACCCCCCCCCCCCCCCCCCCGCAGAACGAGAGGAGAAAATCTTGATTTGAAGCTTTCGTGACTACTGGCATCCAAACTCTTTGGTTCTTTCGGAAAAGTCACGTAGGTATAAAATAAAATAAATCACGACGTTTCGATTGCAATACCAGCAATCATTAGCAGGTGGGAAAACCACAGCAAGAACATTTCCCACTTCAGCAAAAAAAAAATCTTGCTGTGGTTCTCCCATCTGATGATGATTGCTTGTGTTGCAATCGAAACGTCGTGATTTATTTTATTTTATACCTACGTGACTTTATCGAAAGAACCAAAGAGTAGAGAGGAGAAAATACAAACTCTCACAGAGAAAGGTGCCCGAGTGTGGAATCTAATCCAGGCCCTTCTTGCTGACGAACAAGTGTTAACCATCTTCTTGGTTCTTTCGGTAAAGTCACGTAGAAGGGAAATAATAAAATAATAAAAATAAAACTTAATAAAATACAACACAGCGTCTCATTCAGACGCTGTCTTTCCGACAGACCTGTTCTTCACCTGCGGACGGCTGCTTGCGTTGTGGCCGAAACGTCGTGAGAATTGTATTTTATTATGTCTTAGTTTTATTTGTATTATTTTATTATTTCCCTTCTACGTGACTTTACCGAAAGAACCAAGAAGATGAATCCCTGCAGTCACGAAAGCTTTAAATCGAAATTGAAGTTCTAGATTTGAAGCTTTCGTGACTGCAAGGATTCATATTCTTACCGAAAAAACCTAAGAATACGAAATTGAAGTGTTAACCACTGTGCCCTCCACCCTTGCCTCCCTTATCAGGACCTGTTCCACACGCCCGCTTGTTCTCTGCACCTCCCACGTGTGTGCAGGGCACTCATCTACCCCTTCCTCCTCCGCGGAGCGAAACCCATGCCGTTCGTGCCCTTCCTCCTCGCCTTGGCGTTTTGCACCTTCAATGGCTACTTGCAGAGCCGCACGCTCATCTCGTGCGCTCGCTACCCCGACGGCTGGCTCTACGACGTCCGCTTCGTCGCAGGTGTGTGCACGCCTCTTGTGGTGTTCATTACACGCTTTCTATTAACTCACTCTGTCTGTTGTTGTTGTCGTATCCTCAAATCTTGTATATTTTAAACATTCTTTTACACGCTTTCTATTAACTCACTCTGTCTGTTGTTGTTGTCGTCGTTGTATCCTCAAATCTTGTATATTTTAAACATTCTTTTACACGCTTTCTATTAACTCACTCTGTCTGTTGTTGTTGTCGTATCCTCAAATCTTGTATATTTTAAACATTCTTTTACACGCTTTCTATTAACTCACTCTGTCTGTTGTTGTTGTCGTATCCTCAAATCTTGTATATTTTAAACATTATTTTACACGCTTTCTATTACCTCACTCTGTCTGGTGTTGTTGTCGTATCCTCAAATCTTGTATATTTTAAACATTCTTTTACACGCTTTCTATTAACTCACTCTGTCTGGTGTTGTTGTCGTATCCTCAAATCTTGTATATTTTAAACATTCTTTTACACGCTTTCTATTAACTCACTCTGTCTGGTGTTGTTGTCGTATCCTCAAATCTTGTATATTTTAAACATTCTTTTACACGCTTTCTATTAACTCACTCTGTCTGGTGTTGTTGTCGTATCCTCAAATCTTGTATATTTTAAACATTCTTTTACACGCTTTCTATTAACTCACTCTGTCTGTTGTTGTTGTCGTATCCTCAAATCTTGTATATTTAAACATTTTTTTACACGCTTTCTATTAACTCACTCTGTCTGTTGTTGTTGTCGTATCCTCAAATCTTGTATATTTTAAACATTCTTTTACACGCTTTCTATTAACTCACTCTGTCTGTTGTTGTTGTCGTATCCTCAAATCTTGTATATTTTAAACATTCTTTTACACGCTTTCTATTAACTCACTCTGTCTGGTGTTGTTGTCGTATCCTCAAATCTTGTATATTTTAAACATTCTTTTACACGCTTTCTATTAACTCACTCTGTCTGGTGTTGTTGTCGTATCCTCAAATCTTGTATATTTTAAACATTCTTTTACACGCTTTCTATTAACTCACTCTGTCTGGTGTTGTTGTCGTATCCTCAAATCTTGTATATTTTAAACATTCTTTTACACGCTTTCTATTAACTCACTCTGTCTGGTGTTGTTGTCGTATCCTCAAATCTTGTATATTTTAAACATTCTTTTACACGCTTTCTATTAACTCACTCTGTCTGTTGTTGTTGTCGTATCCTCAAATCTTGTATATTTTAAACATTCTTTTACACGCTTTCTATTAACTCACTCTGTCTGTTGTTGTTGTCGTATCCTCAAATCTTGTATATTTTAAACATTCTTTTACACGCTTTCTATTAACTCACTCTGTCTGTTGTTGTTGTCGTATCCTCAAATCTTGTATATTTTAAACATTCTTTTACACGCTTTCTATTAACTCACTCTGTCTGGTGTTGTTGTCGTATCCTCAAATCTTGTATATTTTAAACATTCTTTTACACGCTTTCTATTAACCCACTCTGTCTGTTGTTGTTGTCGTATCCTCAAATCTTGTATATTTTAAACATTCTTTTACACGCTTTCTATTAACTCACTCTGTCTGTTGTTGTTGTCGTATCCTCAAATCTTGTATATTTTAAACATTCTTTTACACGCTTTCTATTAACTCACTCTGTTGTCGTATCCTCAAATTTTTTAACTCAATTTTAACCCACTTCCCAATGTGGTATCGACTGCAAACTTGGTATACTTACGTCATACTGATGACAATACTATATTCTATCATTAAAAAAAATAAACATTATTTTTTATATGTTATGTTTCGGCTTGGATCTAATTGTCCACGGTCAACTGACTTTGGCTGTAATTGGCTACGGTCCCTTACGTTATGGCAAGCTTTGGGGCCACTTCCTGGAGTCGTGGAGTTCTTCCATTACTAGTACATTTCATAAAAGCTTGTTTAAAAAAAAGTTTTTTTAAATATTACTTATTTTTATTTTTTTGTTTGAACGCAGTCGCTGAGCCTCAGGGCCCGACGGCCCATCATGCCAAGCGGCCTGCAAGCATCGTCAAGAGTTGTAACGGATAAGTGTAGAAACGTTTCTCGAATTTGAGTCAGGCTGTTGTTATGAGAGCTTGGAAAAGATACAATGGGAGGGAATTCCAAGGTGTATCAGCGTTTGAGGGAAGAAGCAGAGAGAGGAGAGGAGTGATCTGCAGTGTGGTGAGTGGGTGGAGGGTGAATGTGTTTTTGTTGTTACCTGCAGTGTGGTGAGTGGATGGATGAGTGTCCTGTTGTCACCTGTGCTAACGCACGTAACAGCTGAAACGTGTGAAGGTTCCCACCCTGCACGCAATAGGTCAGTGCTGCAATGTTTCTGCAGGTCTCTCGCTCTAGCATATGGCAAGTATATGGAAATCACACGTCCAAGTTTAAGTCTGTAAGCCATGCGATAGCTTCAGGAGTAGCGCGACTTAATACTGCTCAGTCCCGCCAGAGAGCAGTTGTTCGCAATATGGTCCATTGTCTGGTTTGAGTCCGCAGTCACACTGTGGGTTGTCTTTAATTCTCCACTTGTGGAGGAGGTGCGCACAGCGACCTGTTGCTGTTCTTCAACGGTTGATGGAGCTTTATTTGGAATGTCCACAGAACTCCACAGTGTTCGCCAGCGGTCTTCAATTGACCCTGCTTCATCCATTTGTTTCGCACGATCCCAGATTGGTTTCCTGGATTTCAAACGAGTTCGTGGAGGGTCAAGCAGGTGGGTGACTGGTGTGACGAGATGGAAGTTGAGGGTCACTTCCCTGGCTTCCCTCTGGTGCCAGCTAGAGTTGGAGGGACCGGTTTTAGTCGTATGGGTGTGGGGAAGCCCAATTGTGCAAAATTACCACTATGAAGGGGGCAACAAAGAAGGGGTTGAGGGGACGCGACGTGAGGAGAAGGAAGGAAGGCAAGCGCAGCAGGAACCAGCCATCAGCAAGAAGGCCTGATCCACTGATGGAGTTTGGAAGAACCACACCGAGTGGAGCAAGGGGGCCTGATCCACTGATGGAGTTTGGAAGAACCACACCGAGTGGAGCAAGGGGGCCTGATCCACTGATGGAGTTTGGAAGAACCACACCGAGTGGAGCAAGGGGGCCTGATCCACTGCTGGAGGGTGGAGCCATCACACACCCAGGGCTGCAATAATCTCAAGCAGTGCTGCCGCAGAAGCCGAGTGCTGTACCTGGGGCTGAGTGTGCTGGGCTGCGAAGTGTGGGTGCAATCTCTACTGCTGGAGTAGAGGGGGGGGGACACCACTCCCAGGGCCACGAGGAGGGCTCTATCAACTGCTGGAGTGTGGAGAGACCACTTCAAGGGCTGGATGAGCGGTGTCGACTGTTGGAGTGCGGGGACTCGCCAGACCAAGAACAACGAGGACATAAATAGAGCTGCAAGGGCCTCTTCAGCTTTCATGTGTTGGGCAACATCAAGACTTTGGAGTGCTGCATCAACCACCTCAAGGGAGCCACCTGCTCTACCTACCGCTGGAAGGCGGGCACATCACACCGAGGGAGCCACCAGTGCTCTGTCTACTGCTAGACTGGAGACACCGCACCAAAGAAGGCACTAAAGCTCTGCATATTGCTGCAGGCTGACTATTTAGAACTGTGACACGCAGGACCGTGAGTCCCTGTAAACGGGCGCGCATATGGGCCATGGAGTCGTTCGGTTGCGTGTACAAACGGGTTTCTATTTCTTTATTAAGTTCAATACAGAACACACAAGTCAGACGATACCTGTGGGGTTCTGCCTAATAAGTGTGCATGAAAGCATCTCTAAAAATTTGGCAAAACGACAAACCCACTTGGAATCGCACTCCCTATAAAGCCCGCAACTGGTTTCCAGAAATTTGGAGCACAGTATAGGTACTGATACAGCAGTATATGTACTGATAAATCAGTAACCTGATACAGCAATAATTTGATACAGAAACATGCCATGTCACCCGGTGTTGTGTTAGGGTTTTGTTTTATTTAGGCAGTCCGTGGAAGTTTTCAGCATTTAAAGCGGATAGGAAAGGATTTGACACGTGTGACCATAGGAAGGTTTTAAAGAGACAAGATGCAGCAGAATTGGTGTAAGTTGTATGGAACAATAGCATAAATGCAACGAAAAGGTGTCGGAATAGTTTGGGGGGGTCAAGATAGGTGTTTGTCAGATGCGCATTGTGATTGTTTAAGATTGTTTAAAAAAAAAAGTGTGGAGTATGAGAGGTATAAGACTTGGATATCGCAACGGTCCATTTGCACCCGAGTGCAAAATGATGTTTCATTTTTGCTAGCGGGGACCTTTGCCTGGGCCATTGCAGCTCTCGGCACCTGTAAGTACTGAGGGTGGGCCCTGGGAATATTAAGGTGACTTTTCCTAACACAAACATATATTTTAATTTGCAGTGGTAGGAAGGTTTCCTGAATATTTGAACTGCTTTCTGACACAGGTTTCAGAAATAATGTGTAATGCGGAGGTCGTAAAAGGCTCTCTGTATTTAGGTAGTACTTCAGTGTTCACCATGCAATGGACTGTGATAAGGAGGTTATTGGCTATAGCAGTCGACAAGTTTACAAGGGGTCTAATTTAGCTGCACTTGGACTGTCAGGGGAGGATCTTCTTGGTTCTTTCGGTAAAGTCACGTAGAAAGGAAGTAATAAAATAATAAAACATAATAAAATAATTCTCACGACGTTTCGGCCACAACGCAAGCATCCGTCCTCAGGTGAAAACCAGGTCTGTCGAGGCGACAGCGTCTGAATGAAACAGCACCATGCTTGGAGCATATATTTAAGCTGGGTTGGAAGGGGGGGAAAGGGCGCCTTGACAAAAGAATTTGCATATCAAGAGGAATTCAGCATATTTATGCCAGCTTAAATATATGCTCCAAGCATGGTGCTGTTTCATTCAGACGCTGTCGCCTCGACAGACCTGGTTTTCACCTGAGGACGGCTGCTTGCGTTGTGGCCGAAACGTCGTGAGAATTATTTTATTATGTTTTATTTTTATTATTTTATTACTTCCCTTCTACGTGACTTTACCGAAAGAACCAAGAAGATGAATCCCTGCAGTCACGAAAGCTTTAAATCGAAAAATGTCAGGGGAGGAGTGATGGATGCCATGAGGGCTGCTAGATTTGTAACGTCCTCAAACATAACATCATTCCACGTGTGGTAAAGTTGATAACTGCCAAGCTGCTATGAGTAGAGGTATGTATTCATTATTTCATAGCAATCCAAACGTGGTTTTGTTTTCTTGAAGCACGGTTAATTTTTCTGAAATTATTAAGCTTTTCGGTAAATAGAATTGTCACTTCTTGGTATACGTTTAATTGAAGCGGAAGTCGGCCATTGGATTTTGTCCGCGATTTACCTGTTATATGTGGCTCTCAGGTTGCGGTTTTGAACACTGAAACACAACCGTACCCGCTACATTGTGTGTTTTGGTGTGTCGAGTATCTGTGGCTGACCTCGTGTGACCCTGGCGGTGCGGTGTGTGTGTGTGGTGTGGCAAGGGGCACTGCTCTGGCTTGCTGGTTTGCTGATAAACCTGCACTCGGACCACATTCTGCGGAATCTACGCAAGCCCGGTGAAACGGGCTACAAGATCCCACGCGGTTAGTAGCCCAGCAGGTGCCCCGCCTCCCTCTACGAACCTCTTAGTGGTAGTTTTTATATCGAATCACGCCTTTTCAAATGTTGGCATGCGGTCTTCCCTCGTTGTACTGCAACTCAATATACAGAAGTTCACGATAACACAACCTATGCGTTAGGGAGTGAATTCGATGTAGGTTGTCAAATTTGCATTCGTGGAATTTTTACTGTTCAAATTAGAAAAACTGTTGCGGATAAATCGGACAACGTGTGGTCTGTTTCTCCTTGTATGCATGGCATGCTGCCCCAGGTTGTTTGCACAGCACGCTTTTTAGACTACTGGTTCTCCCACGACATACTGTACTGCTTTCCTGCAACTTATCTTGAGTCATAATTCTGTTAAGAGTTAACTCTGTCACACTGTCATGTTGTTACAGTTAACTCTAACCATAGATTTACATCACGGGCCAGGTGACAGCCTCGTGGAAAAAAACATGTAATTTTTACCATCAGTGGAGTATTGCATTTGACTTGACAAGAACGTATCTCCCATGTTCGAATAAGCAACAGCAGGCATCCATCTCCATTGGTGGTCATAAGCCAATGGTGGAATTTCCACATTCCGTTGGTAGTTTGATCACTGTTGGCTTCTCCTAGGATGGCCACTTGTATTCCTGGCACGTGTCACCCAAAAAGATGCGTCTACTTACCGATGTCCATTGGCACGTGTCCGTATTGTTCTTCTAGGAGGGATGTTTGAGTTCGTGTCGGGAGCAAACTTCTTGGGGGAGATGGTGGAGTGGTTGGGCTTTGCCATCGCGTGCTGCACCCTGCAGGCCTGGGCTTTCTCTGTGTTCACCATCACGGTCATCGGGCCACGCTCCGTTCACCACCACAAGTGAGTCTACACCCCTCCACCCCTCCACACACGGCATGGCGCGAGGACCCAGCACGGGTGGTGACGCGGCCTAGAGGTGGCGCGTTCGCCGCTTGTTGCCGAGGTTTGTGGTTCGAGCCGGGCGACCGCCCTGGTTAATACTGCGGGTGAATTTGTCGTAAAAAAATACTACTACGTGCCGTCTGCTTCACAGTGGATGCTAAAGATCCCGCGGCATCATTCGAAAAGTCGGCCGTTGTGTGCTGACGTCACGGTCCACATTCCGAGCAACAGCAGCCACTTATGCGATGGTTCTCTTGCTGGAGAGAGCGTGAAATCACCGAGCCAACACGATTATAGTCCTCTCGGTGTATTAAAGTCACCTTTTTGATTTAGCAATGAAAGGTAAAAAAACAAACGTTCATTTAATCAGTAATCAAAACATACACGAAAGTAACATTTTGCGAAATAGTTCACTCATTTTTAGGATTACAAAGTAAAAAATAAACAGCCAACATGTGATAGACAACCCCAGAGCACAACCCCCGGTTACAGAGATCATCCCCAAAATAAAGTAACAGCACTAGGCCTAACTTGCAGTTGAGTACCACTGCACGCGCATTCGGTGCCGTACAGTGCAACTTTAATTGGTAACCTCTGGCGTTTTGTGCTGTTTGCCGCAGATGGTATCTGGAAAAGTTTGAAGACTACCCCAAGAAAAGAAAAGCTGTCATTCCTTTCTTATTTTAAATGCAAATTAAACAAATTACACACGTGGGTTGGGTGCTATTAATAGTGTAAGTTGGCCTGTGCAGAATTAAATGTGTGCTGCCTGTTGCACATATTTAATAATCTGCTTGCATTTCCTTAAATCAACAGGGGAGTTCATAGTCGAAGCACTATTACTTATGGACAATAGTTTTTTTTACGTCACTGTCATTGCTATATGAGATTTGCGAATTTTTGTACTTTTTTGCGGCCGTTCTAATTGGAGGTGGCATATTTGAGCTTCCTATTCAGGCCCCTGCCCTTCCTGTTTAGGCCCCTCCCCTCTTTCTTTAGGCCTCGAGAGGCCCCCACCTCCTTCCTCTCTGCCCCCCACTGCCTTAAGCCTTTAACCCTCATCATGTCTTCCCGATTAGATTGGAAACTAATTCCTTTAAGAACTCTGTTGCGTATTTAGTTTTGTTGTCCTTCCCCCGCACCTCCGATTGGCATTGTTGGCTAGGTAGGGTGCGAAATAAGTTCTATATACGGTACATACATCATGCCCAAATGTCTCTTCCTGTTTCAGCTGTGCCTTTCCTTTTAGGCCCTGCCCCTTCATCTTATGCCCTGCTTCTTTCTGGTTAAGCCCCACCCCTCCCCCCAGACACAGGAAGTGGGGAGGGGGTGCACTGAGCAGTGGAAGTGGGGACAGCAGAGGTGGGTGTTGCAACAGCACAATGATGACCAAAATCCCCCTTAGCACAGCAAGATAATAATGATGTTGTTTTAGTCCCGCAAGGAGTTTCTGCAGAACCACTATCGGTCACGTGTCTGTGTTATATCGCATAAGGTTCTGCGACTGCATGGCCTAAAACGTACGATTTTTATTAAATGATTGCTAATGTCCATATGCTTTTCAGAAAATTTAACTGCAAGCACTAAAATACTGTAGTATTTTAAACACATTCCTGCAGAGGGAGCTGGTAGGAACGTTGGGTTGCTCGGTCAATGGCCAGGGTCAACGGTGGCGTGGTGTATTCCGCAAATATGCCCGACTGAGGGCGGGCACAAGCCAGCGTGAGTAGGTTAAACGTTGAGTTTTATAAGGGCACCACGGGGTGACCAGCCCCTCCCCACCCAGCCCCACCCCCCACCCAGCCCCTCCCTACCCAGCCCCTCCCTGCACGACGGACACAATCCCCTGTGGGCTGTTGTAACCTGGCGGTTCCTACCAGTAAAAAATCTTCGCATAAAGTTACTCTCACGTCACTGAAATCGACATGGAGGGTCATATCGCATGACCTCGCAGTGTGTTCAGCAATCCTATTGCACGAGACAGCAGTTAACATCCACCAACCCTCCAAGCTCAGGAACACGCTTTTAACCATCTTTGTATAATTTTTGTTTTTGAAACGAATGTTTTATCAAATATTTGTATCATGCCTGGGTACTTATAAAGTATATTATTTATCTGTAATGGATCCTCACTACTAAACGGTGGCTCTTGACTAAATATCGTTGAGTGGAGTTGTGGTCTCGTTCCTTGCTTCCCAATGCTCTACGGCCTCGCGTGGCCTTCTTCCGTCAACGTGTGACCCCTTGCTCGCATCCGTGGCGACATAGCGCTCCCTTCCAAAGTTTTTGAAGTCAATCGTGGCTATTGAAATGACTTGACTGGATACCTCCGATAGCGCCAGACCTCGGAAGCGAAATGCGGTTACGTCTGGATAGCGCTTAGATTGGGTGACCACCAATAGAATAACAGGTGTCAGGCCATGCTGCGGGCAGTGCAGCCAAGTCCAATGGACATGGTGACATTGTTTGGAGGCTTTCATCCAGCAGTGGATTTATCGCAGCTCATGGTGATCATTATCACCGACAAGGATTCCTATTTAATGGCATAACACACCTTTGCTAAAAGCCAAACTCATGAAATGTATTTTTATTCACGTAAAAAATAAACATTTTTTTAATAAATTCTAAAATAGGATTTTACATGAACTTTCGATACAAGACTGCCATTTTATAGAAACATAATTTTAATGTAGATGTTGGCTTTCGTGTCAAAATAAATTGCACATCACAGCACGTGCTATTTCAGTGCATGACAATACGTGCATTCGCGTTTGTTTCCATGTAGAAATCGGTTCATATACACAGCACGTGCTCAACATCACAAGCAACGAGGGACACCTCAAATCGTGTACGCTTCCCCAGGTTCTGTTGTGGTACCGACACTCAAAATGATCATGTATTGGATGTAATGATGTTTAAACCAATATACAAACATATTCCTTAATTCTAAATGTTACATCTGTTAAGTTCCCTGATGGCAAATGTATTATATCGGTCGTGTGACCAGATTCAAATATAATAATTTACACCCCTCTTGTCAAGCCCATGCCGTGTCACTCAAGGGGGGTTTGATTGTCCTTCACGCTGGTCATTGTGGGTTGGCGGAGGAGGGCTCGGAACCGATTCACGTATCGCTCGCCACCAATGTTAAACGGAGCTTAGAATTGAACTCGGCTCACCGGGGTTATACGACACTGCTCCACCCCCAGATTTAATTGTGCCACAGTAAAGAGTGTAGTGTATACATTCTGGTTAACATTTTCCAAGTGCAATTTTGAAAGATTGTTCAAAAAATATATGGATATTGACTTTTTCAGTTTCCTTGCAACATAGTTACATGTATTACTGCATTGAGACATCCGTGAACATTTAAAGAGCACCCCAATTTCTTTCAAACGAGATCAATTGAGACTGCCACTAAGTCGCCAGTCCTGAGATCTTGTTATGGAAGAGTTTCTCAAGCTGCAAGAGCAGACCCAGCCTGTACTGGAGAGTGTCTGTATTGAGTTTCAGTAGAAATGTGTACAGTGGTTCCCTGAGTAAAACCTCAATGGGGACAAACTCCAGCACCTGCTGCCGAACGTTACCCTCCCGGTCTCCTCTTCCATCGCCGCATCGCTCTCCAGCGTTTGAGACCGCGTGCTGCAGCACACTGATAAACTCCTTCACGCCTTTGTAAACTGATGGATGGCGCAGGCCCGCGCAGAGTAAGACGGTGGTGATGTGAAACGAGCTTGGCGAGAGGTTGAGGAAGGAGAGGCGGCAGAAACATTGTGAAAGGGCAAAGATTATTCCTGCGGAGAATCGAGTAAGGGCGGCGGGTAGGGGCAGCACCAGACAGTCGCCCTCTGCCAAGTGGGAGAACATCAGCTGCAATCCGTCAACGAGATTTTGCTGAAACAACACATCTCCGTCGTAGAGCAGTGGGCTGCTTAGAACTCCGACTAACGGTTTCGGAATGAGGACTGTGTCTCGAGTAGGGCTGCAAGTGTCAAGAGGCGTGGGTGGCAGAACTGAAGGTCCTCCACTGTCAGGCTGGGCGCTGTGCACGACTGCACTGGATTCATCGGCACTTTGGGATTTGTTTTTCCGAGAATTATCGATGACATCGTCCATGGGGTTTAACTGCGCACAGAGCGTTTGCCCTACAGACGCACATCGAGTCTGTTGCCCGATGTCCATATAGTAAACGCCTCTCAGTTCCTTCCCATTCAGAAGTTTCATGAGCGTCGCTCGGACGCGCTGCTCCGTTTCCGCGGCGCTCTGGCTTCCGTCGCGGTGCTGCCCGCTCAGCCACACGGCGTTGGCCGGCCGCACAACGGCCGCCTTGGCCCGCGCTTCGTTGAGACGCTCCAGCAGTTTCACGTCGCAGAACGGGGAGTTGGCCACGCGTCTGAGCGCAGGCCCGTGCCGCACGGAGAAGGTGCTCTCGCCTGGAGGATCCGGCGAGCACTCGAGCACGCGCTCCTCCTCCGCAGGGTCCTCGGACTGCTCGTCCGCGCCCTCACACTGGCCCTCACGAGCCGCGTCGCAACTCGGCGCGTCGATCTTGAGCAGGGCATCGAAGGTCCGCATGTCCGGCTCAAAGTAACCCTGCATTACCTTCTCTCTCCAGCTCAGGCTCTCCAGTTCTTTCCTCTGGTTGTAGGTCCCCACCTGACGCTGCTTTCCCTTCCCCGAGTACGACTGAAAGAGTGGTGCACCAGATCCCCTGGGTGGTCGCTGCATCAGCCAGTCGCGCCGGGCGAGGGGTTGCACGTCGTAGCGGTCCGTGTAGAACCAGGCGGCGGCCTCGCGCACTGCCTCGATGTGAGCCCAGCGCTCCTCGCCCGCGTCGTTCTCAAACAGCCACAGGTTCTCCAGAATCGTATCGGCCTGCAGCTTCTGCAAGGGGGAAATTTTTTCTTAAAAACGACCTTCGGCACAATTAACACAAACTCTAGCAAGCTCACAATTTATGGAAGGCAAATTCGTGATCTCCTTCGGGTCCCTTTGGCCACTCCACATGGGAATGGTGCGAATACCAAAACGTACTAAACGATTACTAAAGAAGGTGTGTGGCCACCTGGAACATGGTGGCGCAGGCCAGCAGCTGCTGGGTGAAGGAGGGAGGAAGGCAGGCGGCAGGGAAGAGGGCCGTGTGGGCGCACACATCTGGGCCCACGTGCTCCTCGAGCCGCTCGAGCAAGGCGGGGGGGAACGCGTCCCGCCCGCGGAAGCCCAGGCACACCACGTACAGCTCCGAGTTGCCTGCTTTGCTCGTGGCCGGTTTCACCACGTGGACCTCCTACGGAAACACCTTTGTGTCACTCGTACATATGCGCGTTCATTTATTTATGTAGCGTCGTCCATGGTAAATTGTATATACAAACGCCGTAGAATTTGTCAACGTGCATTTTTCACACGGGAAATCAAAGACGAGCGCGAAGGCAGCCGGGACCGGCACCAATAATTACCCAAACACTGTAAGAGCTTCGTAGCTCATGGGATTCCTCCAGTCTGAACACTCAATCCTCGTACAGATGGAAATGAATCCACATGGCGTACTGCCATGCCCTGGCAAGCCAGAAGATGGTCACCCCGCCATCTCACAATCTGTGTGACCCACTCATGCTTGCTCAAACGTGCTGGTTTGTTGGAGTGCATAGCCACCAGCGGGAGCGGTCGCGCAGTGGTCAGCGTGCTGCACTACAAACCCGGCAACCCGAGTTCGATTCCCGCTCACGGCCAACATCGGTGACGATTATCTGAACCGGTCCTTGACCTCGCCTAGATCGACTCATCCTCAAATGAGGAACTGGTGCGATGTGTCAACATTGCCACGAGGGAGACAAAGGCAGCCAGGTGTGGCGTTAGATACCCACCGCCTCGTGTGCCGTTCCGGCCTTAATAGGTGCTCGCTAACAGTATATAACAATGTATGGACGCATGTATATGTGTGTGTCGGTGTAGCTGTCAAAGCAGAAACGGTTGCGTTTTTAAATTGGACAAGGCACCGACCACTCGATGAGCAGTCATTAGTCGAGATTATAAAACTTGCCGCACATGCAAACCCTTTCAACTGCAAAGGATCACATTCATGCAATTTTAAATCTGGGCATTGCACCGAACAATATAATTCTTTGTCATGGACCCAAGTGTCATGAACTATTGGCCTACTTCAGGATTACGCTTGAGAATAAGCTTTTAAGCTTCAAGAGAACTCTTTAGGCATATAGAGTCAAAGTTATGTCAGGAACACGAAATATTGTTACTTTATTTCATCAAGTGTGAACTTATGTTTCTTTGCTAATGGGTTGAATTAGTTTCATTAAAGTTGGCAAAAGGAGATATTTTGTATGTCACATTTCTGAAACAGGATCAAGTCTCCAAAATTAGTTCATAATTCTATCTAAATGTGCACAAATGTTTATTTCAAATACATTTTTAAAATGTACCATTATGAAATGCATTGTCACAGTACTGAATCTGATTTTGAGAAGCAGTTCATAATAATTTTAATATATTTGGCATGAGCACCATTGTTCTAGTTCATGGCTCTCATGTGGAGGAGATGTTTCAGAGATGGGTATAGGCTGTCGGTAGGGGGTGATGTTGCTGTGCATAATCCCAGCCGAGTCATTTGTGTGCATTTGTTCAAATTTGAAAAAATGTGGACCATGATGATGGCACACAACGGCCTGCTTGTTTTGAAGTACGGGGGAGGATCTTCTACGGCTACTGTGAAGCAGACGGCGCTCGTATGTTTATGGTTAATACACAACCGCAGTAATAACCAGGGAGGGCTACCGGAGTCGAACCAAGAACCTCTACAACACGCTGTGAACGCGCCACCGTTGGGCCGCGTCACCGCCCCACATTCCTGCTGCAAAGACTCCAATCCAGCACGGGAAACCGTACGGGACGCTCACGAACCTGGAAGGTGCACACGAGCAAGAAGAGGAGGCAGGCCGAGGAATGCTCGAAGAGGGTGAAGAGTTTGAGGACGAAGGATCCGCCGGGCGCCAGCAGGGCCAGTGCCGTCACCGTCTCGCAGAACACCAGCGGCGCCACACACGCCTCCTGCTCCCCGGGGTTACCCTGACGGCGTCATACCGCATCGCATCACGCACCACACCGCACACATCGCGGAGTAAACACTCCACACTCGCTACATCGCAAAACACTGAACCACACATAGGACGTACTCCATTTTCATTTCACAGCAACAAAGATCCCCCGTTATAGTCTTAACCGACTTGGGGCAAGTGCTGTTAGCAAACACTAATGAAGAGCCGAATGGCACGCGGTAGGTGGCCAGCACCACACCCGACCGCCTTGGTCTCCCTCGTGGTGATGTTTACACACCAGGTACTCATTGGAGACCGAGTTGACATAGGGGAGCCTCAGGACCAGTTCAGAAAATCGTCACTGGGTTTGGCCACGAGTGGGAATCGAACTCTAGTCGCCGGGTTCGTAGTGCAGCAACACTAAACAACACGCGACTGCTTGCACTCCACAAACCCATGCGCACTTCTTCGTTAGTTCTACCCTCGTGTGCGCGTGCATTTTCTTTAGGTACTCCTACTGACGTAAGAGTCTCGAGAGCAAGCGAGAATTTCACCGTGTGACGCAAGGTGCCGGAATCGAGGGGGGCGAGGGGGGGCACCCCGAGTGGCACGGCAGTCCCGCACAAAACCCCTGCGGACCTGGCAGTCGAAGCTCCCGTCGGCGGTGACGAGGTGCGCGCCGTCCCCCAGCTCGTCGCGCGCGCGTTCCTGCAAGCGGCGCAGGTTGGCCAGGCACATGGCGTCGCCCGTGTCGTCCGCACCGAAGCACCAGCGGGCCGCCGTGTGCAGGATGAGGCGCGCGTCCGGGATCATACTCCCGCACGTGTTGCTCTCGTGGAACGGGTTCAGGGTGGTGGCCAGCCAGCACAGCTTGCAGGCCGCCTGCGCCGGGGATTCACACGGTGAGAATCGGCGTCTGGTAAACACCGGTGCGGCATGGCCCAATTGCGCTCTGGTTGTGGTGGACTCAGGTTGTGGTGGATGCGAGTGTTTGTTCCTGTGTTGGCTCAAGCATTTTCCCATGATGGGCCCTTCATACAACTATGATTCTTAAAATAATTGTTAGAGACTATTACACTTTTCGTTTCATATTTTGGTAGCTTTTTCTTTCTTAGATAACAGATGGAAACATGCAATGGATTTTTAGTCATACTTGTAACACATTTTAAATACAAGTTAACATTGACACAGATAACCCTGAAATAATATTTAAATCCTGCTTGAATAGGCACAATAATTGACCATGGAACCTGCTGCTCCACACTGTTTCCTTTCAGATACATTGACTAGAAAGGGAACACTTATTTGACAGACCCTGCTCGAGATACGTCGAAAATTTACAAACTTTAATGATGGGAAAACTGATTATGTGCGCCTACTTCATGAAGGTGCCACTGATGACCCAAATAACTACCGGCTGATTTTGATCGCATCCCCCCCACCAATCAAAAAACACATTACAGACTATCCAAAAGAATTACCTGCTCCACACCAAGCAATCAGACTTCAAGGAAAAGTTCAGCACAACCTCGGCAGTGCTGAAGACGCCTGATTTTATCTTCAACAGCCTGGATTATAAACACCTTCTCTGGCATCCTCTTTCTTGACCTACCTAAAGCGTTTCATACAGCAGATTACGTCATCTGACCGAGCCAACTTAAGAAAAGGGGGGTGGCTCTACCCCCCCTGGTCTCCTCCCTGGCTCTTCGGGGGGCCCCGGGTTACCTGGGGGGGTGCCACGGTGGCGAGATGTTAAATACCTCATCTGATATGCAGGTGGTCGTGGGCTCAATACCGACCCTAACGTCTGTATACTTGGAGTTTGCATGTTCTCCCTGTGGTCACGTGGATTTTTCTCCGGGTCCTCAAGTTTTTCCCTCCACATTTAGAAACATGCGTTTAGGGTATTTGGCTGCTGTACATTTCTACGTGATACGCCACTTTGTTGGGCTATCATTTCTGGCCAGGTCACTCCTGAAAAAAGAGCTATATAGCTCAGTCGGCCTTACCTGGTAAGATAAAAAAAGTTTACATTAAAAAAGTTTAACCTGGTGCGTTCGCAGGTAATGGTTGAGGCTGCAGATGAATGCGCCGGGCGCCTCGCACAGGTGCACCGAATTGATCCTGCCGCCGCCGCCGCGTCTCAGTGCAGAGGGTGGCAGCACGGGCAGGCCTCCTGCCAGCAGCTCGTGAAACTTGCACCAGGCCTGCGTGCACAACTCCGCGCCGGCCACGCGCCGCACGTGCCCCACCACGTGCCCCGTGCGGTTAGTGGCGGCCGTGTGCTCATGCCACACATCCAGAGGCTTGTCACTCAGACGCCCTTTGACCTCGTTCAGATCCTTCTTCAGCCGCTGTAGGTCCGCGTGGGGCTGCGCCGAACACAGGTTCGAAGAGAGGATGTGAAGTTTCATTAAAGTGAATCGAGCTGACATGAAACAGTTATATTCAATGTAACGGGCACACTGTGATTTGTGAAAAAGCTTAACATGCACCCAGGCCAGCTGTGAATTCTAAACCAATACTAACATTCTTAACTTTGGAGCTTTCGTGACTGCAGGAATTATTCTTTGGTTCTTTCGGTAAAGTCACCTATAAAAAAAAAAAGATAAATTAAACCAAAGAACAATACTAACATCTATTCAAAATAATTATAACACTGATCTCAAGGTTATGCTTGGTAGGCGACCACTGTCTGTATAGGATACAGCAAGGACTCAATCAACTGCTCATCTACGACTGCACATGATGTCAATAAGTGGCCAATGCAAGAACAAAAAACTGTTTCCAGCTTTAAGTATTCCAAAGGCAGAGACATTTTTTGTCAAGTCAAATAGATGTGCATTCAACAACAATGCCTCAGCTGTGACTGGCTTATCAACATTTACTTAAGAGCTAAATAGATGATTATTTTTACTAAGTAGATGATCCAACTAAGTGGCTCAGTGGTTAACAATGTGCAGCTAGCAAATCAGAATCACGTCCAAAAGTTGACCAGGCCCTTCATTCTACCTGGGTGGGTAAAACGAGTATCACTTTGGGAGAAACCAACTGCGGTTGTCTGATGAAGGAACTAACCTCCATCAAAGGAATGTGGAATTTCCAATCACCGAATTGGGGATTAAACGGGAGATGAGCGCCATGAGCACGGGTATGCGCTCGGGGAACTCAATTTGAACGTTTTCGTCTGGAAAGCACAATTAGAACGCAGTGGTGCTCACCTGTTGCGCCGCTGGAGAGGAGAAGACCAAACGCGCTTCTGGGAGAGTCCACGTTTCACCGGTGGGCACACGGAACTCAAAACGCTTCTCAAACAGCTGAGCCACCTCATCCAGGACTGCATCATTAGTCGGTGGTGCCTCCTCCACCCGCACTCTCTTCCTCTGCCCGCTCTTCATTGTCCTGTCACAAGGCAAATACAAAGACAACGACCCAAGTCATAGCTTTAATGCACTGTTGGGGCAAGTGCTGGGAGTGAAAAATTACGAAGGCCGGGACGAAACACGAGGAGAGTGGGTCGTCAACACCACGCCCAACCACCTTTGTCTCCCCAGTGCTGATGTTTACATACAGCACCAGTGACTAATTTTGAGGCTGAGTCGACTTAGGGGAGGCCCAGAAATGGCTTAGATAATCGTCATGAGTGTTGTCATGAGTGTGGTCGCCGGGTTTGTAGTAGCACAGCGCGCTAACAGCTACACCACCGCTCCCCACTATACAGCTACACACCCATGCGAACCTACAATTATCTGTTTGGGCATAAGTAGCTTAAAGTGTAAATTTATTTATTTAAAAAGTGAGAACTCTTGAGATAAGGATAATCTCATTTGCAAGAGTGACCTGGACAATCAGTGGGCGAAGGCCACTAAAGTGAAGGTGGCAATAAAGCTAATTTCCCTGCCAACCCCCCTCTCTATAATACCTCGTCACAGAGGCGCTGTTTATCTGTCTCTGTGTGTCTCTCTGCGTATGTGTCCCTCTGTGTCTCTCTGTGTGTGTCTCTCTCTCTCGGTCTTTCTCTGTGTATGTCTCCCTCTGTGTTTGTCTCTCTCTATGTGTGTCTCTCTCTCTGTCTCTCTCCGAGCTTGCATGCACACCTGATGACGGTTGCTTGTGTTGCAATCGAAACGTCGTATTCTATTATTTATTTTATTTCTACGCGACTTTACCGAAATAACCAAAGAGAAGGTGGCAATGTTGGGTGGTTGTCCAGGGCGCATGTGGCAGGACTTCTGGTCGAGATACGAGACGCCTAGGAGGGAGCCCCCCCACAATGTCTCCACTTCACCGGGGATCCATAAACAACAACCCCCTTTCCACTGCATGTGCACCGGACCCAGAACATCCCCATGCACAAGATGTGGGGGGGGGGGGGGAGATAAACCTGGGTGGTCGACACAGCAGGACTCACGAGCTCACTTGCTGTACTGGCACCTGCCCCCCCCCCCCCACTCTGGGTAGATGATCCCGGGCCCCCCACTCTGGGTAGATGATCCCGGGCCCCCCACTCTGGGTAGATGATCCTGGCCCCCCACTCTGGATAAATGATCTCGGGCCCCCCACTCTGGATAGATGATCTCGGGCCCCCCACTCTGGGTAGATGATCCCGGGCCCCCCACTCTGGGTAGATGATCCCGGGCCCCCCACTCTGGGTAGATGATCCCGCGCCCCCCACTCTGGGTAGATGACCCTGGGCCCCCCACTCTGGATAGATGATCTCGGGCCCCCCACTCTGGGTAGATGATCCCGGGCCCCCCACTCTGGATAGATGATCCCGCGCCCCCCAATCTGGATAGATGATCCCGGGGCCCCCACTCTGGATAGATGATCCCAGGCCCCCCATTCTGGGTAGATGATCTCGGGCCCCCCACTCTGGGTAGATGATCCCGGGCCCCCCACTCTGGGTAGATGATCCCGGGCCCCCCACTCTGGATAGATGATCCCGGGCCCCCCACTCTGGGTAGATGATCCCGGGCCCCCCACTCTGGGTAGATGATCTCGGGCCCCCCACTCTGGGTAGATGATCCCGGGCCCCCCACTCTAGATAGATGATCCCGGGCCCCCCACTCTGGGTAGATGATCTCGGGCCCCCCACTCTGGGTAGATGATCCCGGGCCCCCCACTCTGGGTAGATGATCTCGGGCCCCCCACTCTGGATAGATGATCCCGGGCCCCCCACTCTGGATAGATGATCCCGGGCCCCCCACTCTGGATAGATGATCCCGGGCCCCCCACTCTGGGTAGATGATCCCGGGCCCCCCACTCTGGGTAGATGATCTCGGTCTCGGGCCCCCCACTCTGGGTAGATGATCTCGGGCCCCCCACTCTGGGAAGATGATCTCGGGCCCCCCCACTCTGGATAGATGATCCTGGGCCCCCCACTCTGGATAGAGGATCCCACCCCCGTCCCCCCCCCCCAACTCTTGACGAACAACCGCCGGAGCGCGCAACTCAAAGTGAGGGCACGGCGCTTACACACAGCCGTGTCGCTCGCAGCCCGCGTCGCCTCGTCCGTCGTCTCGCCTCGTCCGCGCCCAGCAGGAGAAGGAAGAAGGAACAGCAGCAGCAGCAGAAGAATCGACACCCCACGATCCCGCGGGGATCTCCGCTCCGTCTCCTCACGGGACCGTCACCTCCGCACCCCCCCCCCCACCGCCACACTTGTGCGCATGCGCACTTCCGCCACCACCGCTGCTGCTGCTGCTAGGCTACGGTGGCGCGGATGCTCGCGCCGGCGCGGTCCATTTACCAAACGCGCTCGGCTTGTGCGGACTAACACACCGCGGCGTTGCCTAGCGACCGCTCATCATCCTCCTCCTCATCCTCCTCCAGCATCGCTCGTCGCAAGCCGCAGTGAGAGGCCGACCTGCCAGACCGCCCGCGCCTTAACCCACGACGTTCATCGCTTTGCTGTCTGTGCGGCGGGACGTGGGAGGAGACGGAGTGAGGATTCGACGCCGATTGGTGGTGGGAGTGGGAGTGAGGAGGATTTGGAGATTTGAAGATGAACATCGGGCACCACGAGTCAGTACCCTACGCGTATATTACACACACGCCGAGCTCCTCAGTAACAAAAAAAATTACAATTTATACGTTTGATATAGAGTATATATTCATAATCAACGTTTTTGGGTTTAGATCGCGTTATTTATAAATGTGTCGTAACCCTCCACCACCCGACACGGCCAATCAGCAAACAAAGTCTCACGTTGACAAAAGACAATTAGTTCACTGCTTTAGCCCACCGGTGTGTTGAAGCGTGAAACCACAACATTTACAATTGTCACGCTTCAACACACCGGTGGGCTAAAGCAGTGAACTATTTGTCTTTTGTCAACGTGACACATTTATAAATAACGCGATCTAAACCCAAAAACGTTGATTATGAATAATATTGGTGGCGAAAGCCTACGTGTTAAATAGAGCATATATATATTAACGTCAGGTGCATTATAATATAATGTTTAACTTATGAGGCGCCTTTGACCAGAGCGCTCCGGTAACGCGGTTAATATCGTCACTTGGAAGTGACTCCAACGTTTTTACTTTCAATTAGCGGAGCTTTAAAGCCCCCCGAGGGGACGTTCCGGCTCGCTGAGAGCCCTTCGCGAACAGATTACACCAGCGGTCGGGAACCTATGGCTCGCGAGCCATATATGGCTCTTCCGGTGACGGCATATGGCTCCCAGACAATTTTGAGTTGAAAAAAAAATCAGTTTGGAACTGATTTTAAAATACTTGTGATATTGCTTAATAATACTGTGTCATTTTAAAGTGAACAGAAATTAGTGTTGAAGATAAATTTCACGGGTCACGGGTCCCGTGACCAGAAGTCGCATTAAAAGTAAGACATATTTAATTTATTATACGTTAAAAATACTATATGGCTCTCAATGAAATATATTTAGAAATATTTGGCTTTTATGGCTCTCCCAGTCAAAAAGGTTCCCGACCCCTGGATTACACGATCAGAATACGGTACCGTGTGGTCGTGATGTATTCCGCCTGGAGGAGGAATCCGATGAGCTATGAAGCTCTTTGTGCACATGTCCAGTAGGGGGCCACGGGGTCAGCGAGTGAACAATAAACAATTTTTTTAAATATTCATATTCTTGGTTCTTTCGGTAAAGTCACGTAGAAGGGAAATAATAAAAAAATATAAAATGTTTTTATCGTATTGCAAAATAGAGAGAAGGTTTGCAAGGAGCTAAAATGTATTTAAAAAGTATATACTGTAATAATAAATTGCATAAGTGCGTAAACGCCTGCCGATGTTTTCAAAACTCAATGCAACCTTGAACGGGAACTGCATATTGTGTCTGCGGTTAATGTTGTTGATCTTCTACCCCTAATTTGTGTTTCTGCTCTCATTGCTCAGATTTTTGTTTGGGTGTTTTTTTTCTCAGAGTTATATCTGCTTCATTGTGGTGCCGCGTTTTAATGCCATTGCTTTTGTTATATTGGTGGCCCAGATCGCTCTCGCAAATTATAAATTACACAATTCGCAAAACTGCTCATTATATAAACATGGCCAAAACCTAAGCGACACTTAGACATCTGTGAAAAAAGAGCTTCAGTATAAATACAAATTCTAATTCTCTGGCCTTCATAGCCCAGTGAGAAGAGTTTTGAGTAAAATTATTATTATTAAAGTCGATCGCACGGATAAAAATTCCTATCATCATCATGCGCGATATTGCAATACAGTCCATCTCGTCTCATTGTGTTCGTCAATGTCCATGTTGTCTAGACCGCGGGTCGGCAACCAACATAACACAGTCATGTTTTTGGAATCCATGTGGATAACGTCGTGAATCAGCCCTTAAAGAGCCACCACATGCTCCCAACTCCCGGTCTAGGCCATTTGTCATAGCAGATTATACTCACAGATTTTAAACTTTCCTCTTGCTATGTTACTCTGCTTCTTTATAGAGTTCAGCTTTCCAAAACCACCCCCACCTGCTCTCTTCTTTAATGTAATTATAGTGATCCCGAAGATGCATTCAACAGCCCTGAGATGAAACTACGTGGCTGTGTACGGCACCTACTTTTTTGAAGATCAGTGCTCCACTCGATATCGTCGTTAACGCTCAATAAGTGTTAACCATATATATATTTACGATGACATGTGTACAGTACACTAATAACACACGAACATTCACGGCTTGTTTTACTGTTTAATTCGAGATACCATGAGAATGAAGCAGAGGAGGCTGGGGTTGTTTGGATTTGGAATGTTGTATACAAACTCAGTTTGCACCGTAATGGAGCAATCTGGCCATTAAAATCAATCAACAAGACCACATCTCACCAATAACTAATCTGCAGTAGTTTTATAGCAGTGGGCGATGTTGCTATGTGTAATCCCGATTGAGTAATTTTCAGGTAATTATGTTTCGAATTTGGAAGATGTGCATCATGTAGTCGTTTCTAAACTAAGCTTAATTTTAAATTTTACCAGGTAATGTCCACTGAGCTATGTAGCTATTTTTCAGACGTGACCTGGCCACAAATTATAGCTCAACGAAGTGGCTTTTTTACGTGGAAATGTATAGCAACCAAAACAACTCGAGAGGAATGTTTCTAAATGATGTCTGAGATTTTTTGTTTTGTTTACTTCAACCGTGCTGCAAGACGTCCGTTGGTATTTTACGTTTAATACACCCGAAACAATCACTAGGGTGGCCTGCCAGAATTCGAATCGCACGTTGTCGATCTGTCACAGGGATCGATGTGTTGTGGGTGGTGGCTGGGCTGCGTGTGGCATGTGAGAGGGCAAGCCTGTTGTTCGTTCACGTTAGTGCATGTGTGTATTTAACTTATGTCGCGCCGTACGTAGCCAACCGTACTCATCGGACGTGTGATCGGAGTGCAGAGTGCAATGACACGAACAAAAATGTTTTCTTGCGTGGTAAAGTTTGTCACGTGGTTGATTACACTATGTAACACAATTCTTGTTCCTGGGTAGTAAGTGTTATTTCGTCATTGCTTATGCCTACAAAGTAGAAACGATGGCTATTATTCCCCACAAACTTTGCTTTTGTGACCAGGACAGTGATATTTTGAAATTTACTTATTTTCAATGAGAAAACGGGTGAATGTGTATCTTTTCGTTCCCATAAAGTCAGAAAAAACCATATGAATCAAAATGAACATGTATTTATACTAAAGTAATACAAAAATTACTACAAAAGATTTAGAAATGAGTAGTTTTTAGAGATTTACGATTATACTGTAAATCACTTTCACGAATCAGCCCCCAAATGTAGTCTCCCATCATGTTATCGTTATACTGTCCTTGGTAGCAGTGTTCAAAGTCAAGTATATCCTGGTGGAACCGCTCGCATTGCTCCTCCGAGTACGCTCCCATGTTCTTGAATTGATCAAGATGAGCATCAAGGATATGGACTTTGAGGGACATCCTACAGCCCATTGTGCCATAGTTCTTCACCAGTCTCAACCAGCTCCACATAGTTTTCGACCTTATGATTGCCCAGGAAGCCACGAACCACTGCGACAAACGTGTTCCAAGCTGCTTTCTCCTTACTAGTGGGCTTCTTGGGGAATTCATTGCACTCCAGGATCTTTATCTGTGGTCCGACGAAGACACCGGATTTGACCTTTGCCTCAGACAGCTTAGGGAAGAAGTCTTGAAGGTACTTGAAGGCTGCCGACTCCTTATCTACAGCTCTGGCAAATTGTTTCATAAGGCCCAATTTTATGGGCAATGGTGGCATCAGCACCTTCTGGGGGTCCACCAGTGGCTCCCACTTGACGTTGTTCCTCCCCACAGAGAACTCGGTCCGCTGTGGCCAGTCCCGCCTGTGGTAGTGCGCCTTGGTGTCCCTGCTGTCCCAAAGGCAAAGATAGCAGGGAAACTTGGTAAAACTGCCTTGGAGACCCATCAGGAATGCCACAATTTTGAAGTCTCCGATTACCTCCCAGCCGTACTCATCATACTTCAAGGTGTCCAGCAAGGTCTTGATGCTGTTGTAATCCTCTTTGAGGTGCACCGAGTGAGCCAGGGGAAGAGACGGGTACTTGTTACCATTATGGAGCAGCACGGCTTTGAGAATCCTGGATGAGTTGTCAATGAAGAGGCACCACTCATTTTGGTTACATGTGATTCCGACTGCCTCTAACAGACTGGTCACATTGTGACAGAAGCAGAGCCCGTCTTGACGGATGAAGAAGCTGCAAAACGGTTGGTGATGCTTCCTCTGATCTGCGACTTGCACACTTTCATCCAACAAGTTCCACTGCTTGAGCCTAGACGTCAAAAGCTCGGCATTGGACTTGGTGAGACCAAGATCTCTGATCAAGTCGTTGAGGTCTTTTTGGTTGGGGTAGTATGGGTTTCTCTCCTCAGCTCCACCTCTGAAATTGTCATCTGGATCTACAACGTCTTCCTCGCTCTCTGACTTGCTGCTCTCTTCTAAAGATGGCTGCTCTCTCTCCAGAGGAGTGGGTACGGGAGCTCATGGCAGTGTGGCACCGGGGCGATGGATGAAGGAAGGTCCGGATACGTGATAGCAGGTGCATTCTTGCCAGTCCGACGTTTGGAAGGGTCCACCATGCAGAAGTAGCAATTGCTTGAGTGGTCAGTGGGTTCCTGCCAAATTCTTGGGATAGCGAACTTCAACCACAGCAAGAAAGTAGGCAACGCCTACTTCAGCATTTTCTTGCTGTGGATGAAGATTGCTTGTGTTGTGATTGAAACGTCGTGATTTGTTATATTTTATTTCTACCTACGTGACTTTACCGAAAGAACAAAAGAGTATGGATTCCTGCAGTCACAAAAGCTGCAAATCAAGATTAAAGGAAAGCATCAGAAAATCGCAAATAAAACATAATGAATATGTAGGGACTATATAGCAGTAACTGTACGCATTGGGGTGGGTGGGGGGGGCACATGACATTTAGAAGAATTAACGTCAGCGTTTTGTGTGAACATGTCCCCCTGACCCCGACCGACACGGAACGCGTGTGACTTGGAACGGTCGATCGTGCGCAATTAATAAATA